CGCGCGAGAGAGCGCTGCACACCAAATGAACATGTTTAACGACTGATCCAATACAATTACAAACGATGCACGAAAAATTGTTCACATTCCGCATTACATTTCGATTGTAAATATTCTTCAATCGATCTGTGCACACAGAGCACAGTCTCAATCGAGGAGGCTTGAAACTGAATGAAAGAGACAAATCAAATCCAAATCCAAAGAGACCCAACGCAACTATAAATTCAAATACAGAGAGAATTGAAATCGAATTCATCGTAGACAAATCGAATGAAAATTTTTAACACAAATTTGCAACAAAAACTGCATCAAAAAAATGCAAGGAAAAAAAAACCAGTTCCATTCAATTTGTTTGTCATTTCTTGCCATTTGTTGTGTCATTTGTATATGTGATTTTCAGTTGATTTATCTGGTGGCCGCTGAGTGTTCCAATCAAATGATGCATAATGCCTTGTTAAAATATGAAATTTACCGCGATGAGATAAGTGTATTTGTGATCGAAATAAGTGAAATTGGCGATTTGAGTGTTTTTTTTCTCTTCTGTTCCGCATTCGCTATATTGTCAGCACTGAGCAGTAAATGAGCCAACGAACGAACGAGCGAGTTGAATAACGGCGATTTTGACTTGGCTGTTTGTTTTCCCATTTTATTATTATGAACGGTGCAAATCAATTTTCAATCGCAATTGGTCACTTTACCACGATGGACGGTTGCGTGGTGTGGTGAGCGCGCGCGCACGCGCACTCGACCGCGCTCGAGATAAATGAATTCATCGAGTGAGTGCAGATTCTTGAAATGCGACAGCCCAAGCCAAAGCCAAAGCCAAAACCAAACCGTCGAAGAAAGATAGAGTGACAAAAGCAAGAAGAGACAAATGAAGTGGAAAAAGGAGATGGAGGAATGAGAGAGAAGGAGATAGAGAAAGAGTGGAAAAGAGAGAAAAAGGGCGATAGAGATGAAGAACAAGAGAAAAAGCGATCTAAAGTCGGATGGCGCAAGCGAGTGGAACCGGCGAGAAAGCAAAGGACAAAGCGAGACAACGAAAAAGAGGCCGAGAGCAAGAGATAAAAAAATGAGAGACCAAGATTCCAACAAAAAGAAAACCAACAAAATTATAAGCAATGAAATAGTAATTAAAAGCAAGTCAACAAGTGATTTCTCTGTCACGATTTATTTCACTTCATCGATTTGCTTATTTGCTGTTTTGTCAGCTCTTGGCCATCTCTTTCCTGCGCTAAATGTGTCTCATTCTTGGGCTCTCTCTCTCTCTCTCTATCTCGTCGACGTTACGACGATGTCAACAGTTCTTTTGCTGTTGTTATTTGTTTATTTGCTCTCGCTCTCCGTGTCTCAAGTGTGATAAATATAAACATTTGTCCAAGTTGTTTAATCTCCAATTTTATGCTGCCCACTGTAAAAGTAATCGGGATAATGAAATGAATTGCAACGTCGAATGGGAATACAAATGAAAAGAAATAAAAACAACGTATGAATGAAACGACGTATCGAGAGAGAGAGAGAGAGCGTGGCCAGTTCCACTTCCATCTATTTCCATTTCTTGTGGCCACATTTATTGAAATGTATTTCGTTTTTCGTTGTTTTTCACGATGCCGGCTTAGAATTAAAAACAAGTAGTCACAACTCGTGTCCGAGTGGATTAGTGGTCACGAGTGGCCACGATCCCATTGCAAAATATATGTGCATAACCATTTTATTGGATGGTCTCACCTCTTGAGTGCGAGAGGCTCGCGCTTACTTGCGACAACTTCAGCAATCAAACGCTGATTCAACGCGAAGAAAAAAGTAAATACTACGCGGTCCTCACATACACAGGCAAACCGATCGAATGCTTTGATTCAAAACACACACTCGAATATCGAAAAAAAAACGTCGAGGCAAAAAACGAAACAGAGAACTTCCAGTCAAAAGATGATGATGATGGAATAAACGGCAAATTTTCAGCGCATTCATTTAATTGCCATTCGTTTCGCACTATCACACCATTCAAAACAGTTTATTTTTATTGAACATCACCAAATTCTGTGGCTGTTAAACAAGATCGTTCCATATCTTCTTTGAACAACATCTCTCAACACATTTCCTTCACGATTTTACCGAAAAAATGAGCAAAACGAACGTCCGGATGAATGTGTGTGTTTATTGAAATTGGCTCGAACATTTATCGGTCACAAAATGACAGTTATATCGATTTAGGCAACTGCATACGATGTGATCATTGTGTGCCATCCAATAATCACATCATTCGCCATTAAGCAAAACCACGGTGGATCGATCCACATCGTCAGCGATTCGCGATCCAAGTGATGAGACAAAACATAAAAAATGGAAGACATGAAATTAGAAGCAAAAAGAGGAAATTTGTTTTGTTGGTTTCACTCACCGCCGTTCTACCCTCATCAATTCGGACATTTATTTCGGATATTAAACGGTGAAACGATAAAAAAAATCGGGTAAACTTTTAATGATTTGGAAAGTAAAAGGAAACAAGAAATGATCGATGAAAACGCGAATTAGTTCGTTAATGTGGAGCGAAATCGATTTGTATTGAGAAGAAGTCCTCTTTGGAGAATCAATTTATTGAACGAATTAACAAATTTATTTCATTTTAAAATTGAAATCGAGTCAAAAACATTATAGATGTCCGGGTGGTAATCATTGACACATTTGATTGTTTTTGGAATTGAAGAAGATTTGCTTTATTGGTTCTAACAAAATGCTGTGCTAACTATTGGCTACTTGTGGCCACGTGGAAAAAAAATTGTGGTGATTACAGGTGGGCCAATTCGCGAGTATATACTCTCATACTCACTCATTTTGAAAATGAGTATGTCTCGACATACTCTCATACTCATAGATACTCTTTGAGTATGAGAGTATATACTCAGAGTATATACTCTTTGATTTTGCGAGCGGCTTCAAAACAGCTTGTAATACGAGTAAAAATTGCACATAATGAGTGTGAGCGAAACAGCATAAGTTTTCGGCGCTCGATTGTTTTCCATATAGGCCAATTCAATTGAATATAATATTATTAAATATTTACACATGGAAATATCTCGAAAACGGCTGGGTAAATCGGCAAAATGGACCGTGGTGTCACTCCCGGAGGGAGTGTTAACACCCGGCTGGTTTGATGGCCTAGAATACAAATCCGGCGAAATTTCAGTTGATCCATGGATTCTCAGGATTTGACCAGGTTCCAGTGCTTCCTTTTTTATGTGCATCTGTAAAGTCATATTCCCTATGTTATGTATGGAATTTCACCACGACGGAAAGAAATTGAAGTGCTAGAATCAGGTCGAATCCTGAGAATCCATCGATCAGCTGAAATTCCACCGGATTTGTATTCTAGGCCGCTAAACCAGCCGGGTGTTAACACTCCCTCCGGGAGTGACACCACGGTCCGTTTTGCCGATTTACCCAGCCGTTTTCGAGATATTTCCATGCGTAAATATTTAATAATATTATATTCAATTGAATTGGCCTATATGGAAGACAATCGAGCGCCGAAATCTTATGCTGTTTCGCTCACACTCATTATGTGCAATTTTTACTCGTATTACAAGCTGTTTTGAAGCCGCGCGCAAAATCAAAGAGTATATACTCTCATACTCAAAGAGTATCTATGAGTATGAGAGTATGTCGAGAAATACTCATTTTCCGTTCGTATGAGAGTAGGAGTAGGAGTATAAATTATACTCTCTTACTCCGCTCACCTGTAGTGGTGATGGACCAAGAAATGAGCTTCGTTTGAAAATTCTTGATTTTCCAGACGAAAACTCCAGAAAGAGCAACAGTAGAGGCTCCAATTCAGAGCAATGACAATAAAATCCGCTGTATTGTTCATTGAATTTTCGTCGCTACGGTTTTTTTGAACAAGAAAAATAAACTATATAAAAATCGTTAAAAATGTGGAAAACAAATGACTGACTGTAACTGAAGTCAACTAATAAGCGACTTTAGTTAACTGAGCAGATGATTTGTATGAGAAATAGTCGACTACGATTAAAATTTTCTCGATAATCGATTGCTTAGTCAAAATATTTCCACACGGGTATGCCCATGAAATGTAGATCTATTGTATTTGTTTTCATTCATATCGATATGTTTCACATGAATATTTCGATTGAATTAGGAGCTCTCGCTGAATCCTGTCGATTGTCGAAAATCTTTTTTTGTATATCAATGATATGGCGTTATCAAATCATTTCGGTACAAAGAAGACTCATTTGGAATTTGAAATTTCTTTGATAAACAAAGAAATTGGTTTGACAAATGAAACGAATGATATGTCATGGAGACATTTCCTATCTGACTGCAATTTTCTTGATATGCAAAGACATTGGATCAAACTTTCTTTGTATGTCCGGTTTCAAATACGTTTTTGAGGCTTCATTCTCTAGTTTCAGACGCCATAGTGCATTATCTCAACAAAATTTCGGAATCTGAACTTCGTTGTGAACTCTGCACATCGGCGCCCGGCTCAAATATACTCGCATAAAATAGAGAATTTCACCCGATCGGATTAGTGATTGAAAATGAACAATTAATCATTTCTTCATTTTCAACAAAAAAAAATTGGTCATTGGTTCGATCTCGTTCACACGTTTGGAACAAAAATTTTGGTCAGTTCGGTTCTAATAGCAACTTATAGCAATCTAACTTTCGCTTCTTCTTTCATAAAATAGAAAATTGCGCGATTTTAGCAATGAACAAGGCAATGTATCTGTTCATCATATCAAATTTTCATTGAAAACTATATGTATAGGTAGGTGTGGTTACACTATAGCGAATGCAATCTTTGTACTCTCTCTCTCTCTCTCCATCTCCCTCTTCCACACCGATGACGCCGAATCAAACTAAGCACACGATTAAACGTCGTCGACACACTACTAGTTACAATGTGATTTCACTTGAATTTGCATTTGTTTTCCTACGTTTTTGATAAAAACAATGCATTTATCGTTGTATATTATTACCTGATATCTGATTATACTATCATCAAATAAACTTATCGTATAAATCATTGGCTTCAACTGTTCAACAGGGCATACAATTGTTTCTGACGTAAACTACGGGCCGACTAGTCGATGTGAGCTATGAGCCGCTTTTTTCTCTGAATGAACACACATATCGTTTTTTTTTTTCTGCACACACGTGAATGAAGAATCCTTTTTTGAACAAAATGTTGCTCGTTAACTACACAGAGATACGGTTCAAAATGAAGAGGACCTTTCAGTTTCTTTGAATTGATTCACCTTTTTAGTCGATTTAATTTGTAACGTTTGAGCATTTCATTTTTGTATTTGCAGCGATTGAACAATGCTACTTTTTGCCATTAATCAATCAATATAATGATCTAATATGCACTTTTGGTTATAGTTCGATCCAATATGCACTTATTGGCAAGTATTTAACGGCGTTTAGGCTCTGGTTCCCTTTCAACTTTGTTGTTATCAGGTTATCACACACCGCGTTTTGGCCCAGATCACTATTCCACTCACACTGTCACTTCGTTGTATTCGCTAGCATTTATTCGCATTTGCTACTGTTCACATTTTCTCAATTGCCTCTGATTTTCGCTGATATTTTTGGTTTTACTTTCACGTGTTTAGTTTTGTGATTTTTAATCGCAATTTTTACTTCCCATTTTATTGATTGAGACGTTTCAAATCAAGTTGTCAATCGAAAAAGGTTTCTTCACGATTATTCACTTATTCATTTGGCAAATGTTGAGAAACATAAACGATGAACACTGTCTAATCGAATTGAATTGTTTGAATAAACTTGAATTTTTGACACTGAATTTGTTTTTGGAACTTTTAGTACGACTTTTGTATATTATTCGGACGATTTTAGGCAAATTTTTTAGTCAAACTTTTCTGCCGAATAAATTGTTTCAGATTTGTTCATACAAAATTGTCCGGAGAACAAAGACAAAAATTGAAATTTTCGTGGTTTTTTGTACGTTTTTGATCCGTTTTTGTCTTAAAATTTTTATTCAAGTCGAAGATAGGGCACAATGACTAAAAAACGAACCGATTGAACCACAATGACTAAAACTGAACCGTCGAATCAGAGCAAAGTGATGTTTTAATGCATAAATCGCATAAAAATACCTAATGAACACAAACAAAGATGCTCTCCGTTTGACACTGATTAGAACTAATTGAAGCCGAATTAATTGAATAAAAATCCAATGAATTTGGTGAAATATGTTCAAAACTGCATTAGAGTGATTAGAACTTCGTTTCGATTCTTCCTTTCAATGTAGTCAACACATTTGAACTCAAAAGTAGTCAATTTAAATGCAAAGATTGATTCTAAGTGAAAAAAAAAAACTGTTTTTGTCGTTTAAAAAGTCGACAACATCGACAACAATTCACCAGAAAGAGAGATTAGCGCCAGGTATCAGAGGTACGAGCTGAGTAACTAGTGTGCTAATGTCGACTAAATTAGACAAAACAAAACGAAACAAAACGAAGAAGACGAAAAAAAAGAACGGAGTGTTTTTATCATGAAGTATACTTACAACACAATTGAGATTTGTGTGATTTTATCAGGTTGCATATAAAGGTCGTGCATTGTATAATGTCATTCAAGGGTTACATTGAGTGGGAAACTGCCATCGAAATAGAAACGAGCAAAAGAGATAGAGAGAGAACGAGCAAGAGTTAGTGAAAAAGAGGAAGAAAGAGTGAGAAAGAGAGTGAGAGAGGCATATAGAGATAGAGTATGTGTATACAAGCATGAATGTGTATCTAAAACGTCAAACAATCTTCTTCTATTTGAAAACATTTACTAATATTTTATTTGAAATAATTGGATGAGGCGCCGTTATCTCAGGCTATTTACATTTTTCGTTGCTGTCGTTCTGAATTATTGAATTGGAACAAGAAGCGCGGGATGTTTCCTTCGACACATCGGTTTCGGTGTTGGCTATGATACTGAGGATGTTGTTGCCATCGTTGTCGATTTGCTCTTGTTTGAGGCATTTTTATGGTTATTGCATGATGGTATGGTTATTTGTGCATCTAAAATATGGTTAATTTTCAGTTTGGTGCCAGGATATCATCACTTTGGACAAAAAACGACGAGATAAGCATATCAAATATAGACACAAAATAGACGCACGGGTTTTATTTGATGGATAGAGCATCGAAAATAACACAAATTGGAGAGAATAGAACGTTTAAGAAAGGTGCGTGCGTGCGCGCGCGACGAGTGCTGTACGTTTCTATCGGAATCGGTTGTTTGCATCAACGGTGTAAGAACGCCGCCGAAAACCAATTCACAGATGAGATGTGAGAGGAAAAGAGAGAAGTAGAGACGGAAAAATGAAGATAGAAAGAGTGAAAAAGAGGGGAAAAAAACACTCAAAGATGTAATGGTTATGGAAACCTATCATTATGGAAAATTTAAAATTCGATGTCCATAATAACATGATGAAGAAAAATATCAATTTTGGTGTTGTTCGAACAACATCGGTCAAAGAGCCATTTAAAAAATATCCTCCGATCGAACTCTTTCTCTCTCTCAGTCCGAATCGAAGACATGCAACCAAATCGACACACCGAACCAATTTACTCCTTTTACACAAGAATAAAACACATACCGATATTCACCGTGCGATCGATACTCACCTGAGAGAGAGAGAGAGAGAGAGAGAGAGAGAGAAGCGGAGAGAAGAGACCGAAGAAAGATCGAACATAAAGCAACAACACCGCCAACGAGAAACCACTTACTCCGACATAATTTCTATTCATTTTGGTTGATTATGCGCACATTATTTGTTATTCTCTTTTGTGCAGCCCTTCATGTCCAATTTTAAATGCGACAGCGGCACACACACACATACACATCCGACCCAACGAAAGCGAAAGAAACGGACGAAAGACCGTCGTCTCTTCACTCGTTCGACCGATCGATCGATTGATTGTGGGTCAGCGATCATTCATGTCATGCTAAAGTGTTTGCAACTTTATGAATTATCTACGAATTTCAAGAACTATTTTCAGCGTTGGACTTTTTTCCCTTCAGTAAATTGTCAAAAACACAACCAAAATCGAAAAATTTAAACCTGAAAAAAAACTAACTGAAATAAAATTTGAAAAAAAAAAAAAACCATAGCAGTAGTCTGCAATTAATACAAAACAAAGATCGATTTATTGAATTTTCATGTTTTTATCAATCGACATTTTTTTTTTATTTGGAATTTGTATTTGAATGTTTGGCTTTCATTCAATTTGGATTTATTCGTAACGATCCCAAATCAAGGTAAAATTCCGATATAATGTCCGATTTGGAATCGCCCACTTTGGTCAATTGACGAATTATCTCTTGATTCTCCGCATTGCCCTCGCATAAATTACGTATCGCCAAGATGCTCCATTCCTTAATCACTGAAAATGTTTTCGAACAACAACAAGAAGAGAAGAAACTTAAAAACCGAAGACCAAGAACAGGGAGTCATATTTAGCATTCTTAATTGATGATTTATCGAAACGATTAGTCATAATAAACTAAAAAAAAATGGTTTTTCTCACATGGATTACGCGCATCCAGTGCAGTTGAATCCAACACAGCCACTAGGAATTCCATCTCACGTGCCTGTAATTTGAGTAGAAAATTTGGATTAGAATTGGAATGGCTTGGATCGGATTGAAGCTAAAAATAGAATCCTCCTTGATTCGAGTATAAAAAAAAATGAGAATATTCTATCAAAAATCAAGTATATAAAACGATACTGAGCATTTATGAGTAAAAAAAAAACCATTTAAAAAATGACTGAACAAACCAAAAAACCATGCTTCTCCACCCAAATCTCAAAAAGCATCTCACTCACCAAGTCTTGATTTTCCTTATGTTTATACGCCAAATTGGCGAGCGTACGAATGAGTGTCGATTTTAATTGATACGATATGTCACGTTCAATGCTGGTGTCATCGCTCGAATTCGGGGCTAATTGATTCAATTTCTGTACCGGTGCAAAGATATTCGAATCGGATTGCTGTTTGCCGATCTCATGAACGGTTCGCAGTAAGCAGCCAACGTTTATAAATAATGAGCTATCCGATGCTAGCACATGTGAGTATCGTTCATCGGCCGATGCACGTGCAATCACTTCGAGCAGCGCTACCACTTCGTGTGGATGAATGGTATCGACGGCGGTGGCCGTTTTTAGCACACAATCGGATTTTTTCTTGAAATCACGGCAAATGAATTGCAAGAGTGGCGTTGAAATGGGATCGTGTCGTACGACTTTCATGTGTTCACCAATATAGTAAATGAGGTGTAATCGCTTATCCGCTGGCATTAATCGATCGTAAACCGGTGCAATTGAGCGATATTTTGTAATAAGATGTTCCATAAAAAGCTGATGAAAATCCGTGTTCTCGTGTCGATCCAAAAAGCATTGCAACAATATTTCAACCACCATCTTTACATCGCTTGTGCTGAGAATTTCACTTAGAAACAAATTATAGAGAATCATCGTGCATTCGCGGCTATTTTCCGTTTGGCAAACACAATTCAACTGAGGCAACTGTGGTGCAATGCATTTGCTCCAAATGAGACGTTGCGTTGCATCGTTTTGAACACATAAATTGGCCACGAATTGCCAGCACATTTTCCGTGTCTTCGGCGATAGTTTCGATTGATCAAATAACAGCACATTGATTGCATCGAAAATGGTGTGCGAGTCAAGTTCAAAGGCAGCTATTTGATTTTGCACCGTTTTGCCGACGGCACAACTGTTTCGCAATAATCGACAACATTCATATGCGAGCTCGTCGAAATGCGACACATTGACAGCTTCACTAGTTTCCATAGATGATAAGCAAATGCACTCGTGGAATAGCGTTGCGATTACTTTCACCAAATCAAACACACCGTCCGACTTTAGATGGTGGGTTCTGGAAGAGATGACAATATGTTAACTCACAACATCGTTTATATTCGAACAAGTTTAGCTCTCTGTTTATTTGAAGTTTCTTTTGAAGAATTTGAATGATCCACTAAAACTCACATTTCTGGCGATTTCAGAGAATCCAGCAACTGCCCACACTCTCCGGCTTTTAATAAATCAATCAATTGATTCGGTATCGACATCGCAATATTTACACTCTTTTAAACCTACTTTGGATTGGAACACTGCAACGAGAGCGCGTGTTTTGTTTACAAATTCATAAACTTTGACAATTCACATACTCTTCCATTCACATACAGAATCCATTCTTCTTTACAACTAGCGCCATCTCACGCACAATTTGCCCGCGCTCACAATTTGGGAGAGTTTTGAAATAAAAGCTTGCATTCTTTTCTTCTATTAAAAACAATTTACATTTTATTGTCGTATTTTGTTCAATTTCATCACTTTGGTTGTCTTAGGTTTATTTCGATTTTCATTTTAGACTTAGTTGAACAACCGACTTGGGAATTGCTCGTAGAACACATGCGAATGCTTTTCATTCAATAAATTTGCATTTCGGCTATCCATTTCGTTGAAGTCCACACTGAAATTGTGAAGAGAAAAAATTGATTACTCAATTGTTTTAGTTTGCTTCAATAGTGATTTGTAATTAAAATAGAAAATAAATGGACTAAATGATAAATAGTTGCTTGATGTTGCTGGGAACTCAACCAGAAGGAAATTTACTTTCCGCATATTTGAAATAAATTGGAAAACTTTAACAATTGAAAAGATTGACAATTCTGAAGAGAAAATTTTGAAGAAAAAAGGGAAAAAAGTTGAAAAGTTAGCAAAAAAAAAACTAGAGACAATTTTCAATTGAGTCACTAAAGAAACTCAAAACATAGAGAAAAAAACACTTGAAGAAAATAAAAAATTCGAATATAAATGTAGAAAAATTGAAAGAATAAACTGAACTAAACGTTGGAAAGATCAAGAAAATTCAATGAAAAATAATTCGAACATTAATCTGAACAAAACATGAGAGAGAAAATCAAGAAAACCTGACCAAATCAAGGGAAATCGTTAAAAAAATCAAGAAACTTCAAAAAAAAAACTGCTGAAATTGGCAAAAACTTACTCATCAATTGACAACGACACATTGACTTGACCCGATGATATTTCCGTTGGACGTAACGAACCGAAGAAATCGGTGATTGGCACTTTATTTGGATCTTTTGGATACAAATCCTTTCGCACACCAACCGTTGAGATGCACTCACGTTTTGGACACACTTTCAACTAAAATCGAAAAAAAAGACATTTTTGAATAAAATTACTTTTCGCACTGGTCCATGTCATGCTCATTTCAAATTGAATTCAATTGTAGTTTTGAATTGAATTAACTGCAATTCAGAAGAATGACAATTGAACAAAAAAAAGGGTCATCGATTGCTTACAAATTCTCCGATTGTTCTTTTGCTCTTTGGTTCGACTCTTTCCAAAAATTCCAACGCATAATATGTGTATCGATCAATGATATAAACACCAATGGCTGGATCAACGTGATGCTGGAAATTGATAAGAAAATTGTTGAATAGAATTTATTGGGTTGTTATTTGCATTTAAATTTGTGGTTATGTTTAAAAGAGAAAGTGAGAATTTATGAAGAAATGACGATGTAAAACAAATTCCTAGCGAAAGGAATAATTCGGGAAGGAGTAAGAAAAAAGTGATGAAAAATCAGTGGAGAATCGAAAAAAAAATTAAAGAAAAATGTAAATTTTTTTTAAAAATGTTCAAGGAAAATTGTTCAAAAGAAAGCGTCTACTTTTCTTCAGACATTGTATACCACCAATGTATCTCGTAAACAAAACACAAAAAAACCCCAAACAGCATCCATGTGTCTTACCGAAAGTGAGTCTTCGCCAACTAAGCTGCTAGCCACGGCCAAAATATTTGGTGAATAAAATTTTTCGTACATCGAAGCGGCTTGACAAGTGTCAATCATGAAGAAAATCTCATTGTATCGTTGCTTTTGCCACATTTGTTCAAATGCATCGGCCAGTTCATGGTTGGTAATTTCTTCGGAATCTTGGAATTTGAGAAATCCATCGCCACCATGCCCGGTCAAATAGATAAGAATATTACTGCCGGGATCAGTCAACAGTTTCTTGGATCGTGGTGTGCCGGTTTGTGTTCGTCCGGTCAAAAGTCGTACAAAATTTTCCACCGTCACTTCATAACCGCGATAATCCACTTCAACATCGTCACCGTACACGTTGATGTGTTGGTTGGCATTGTTAAAAACGGTTGCTGGTCGTGGATTTCGTGCATTGCAAGCCATGTCATCGGCAACCATCAGAATAATTTGACTGTCTGGTATTCCGAGCCGTTTAACCGATCGATAAATTGACAGTACATTCGCGACATGACGATAGTTAAACCAAAACCGCGACGTATCCACCAATACGGCCCAGTTGTTTGTGTGCGTTCGTGTATTTTCGGCAAATTTTTCCGGAACCTACAAATCAAATTTTATTTAATAAAATTACAAAATTTCAATCCAATAAATCATTAACACTCACTTCGAGATCATGAGCTGTGACCAGAACAGCAAATCCAATGAAAAAACCTACACTTAAATTAAATAACATGGCTAAGGGAAAAAATGTAAGTAATTTGTTTATGACAATTTTTTATTTGGTATCGCGATAAACATTCCGTTTTTATGGCATTGGCATACAGCGGCTTGTCAATTTAGTGTCATCGTTTGCCAACAGCGAAAGCAGCGCCATGTGTCAACCATGTTCTGTCAAATGTAGCGTTTGGGTTTGTTTTCAATCGAATTTGCTTTGTTTGAATGAACTGAAAATTCGAAGGAGAAGAAAATCTTGAATAAAAAAAAATTTGATGAAAAAAATTGATTTTTAATTGAGTTCGAACTGATGAGCTGAGTTTGATGTTAACAATGCAGCTGCTTAAGAGTCTATATGCAATGCATAACGTATTTTCATGCCATTCAGTTTGGAATTTAAAAATGAAATGAAGCGCATATTTATACGGTGCTGCCATCACATACGCATTAAACAGAAAAAAAAACGACAAAGATGTCGACGTTTTTTGGCATGTCAAGCAGAGCAGTATAGTAGCAGTAGAGCAGCAGCAAAACATATTAACTTAAATTAAGCGAAATTGATTTTATCCGTGAAAACAAAACACGAAGCGAAAAAAACCCAACAAAATTGATTGCAAAAAAGCTGTTGCCATACCATCGTGCCAGGGTGAGTGTAAAGCAATTGATCGATGTTGATCGTGTTGCTTGTGTTGGAATTGTGTTGCCAATCGAGCGAAAATCTAATATTTTGTGCTTTATTAATTTCCTTTCCGTTCTCTCCAAACGCACTCACACACTTAGCTTATGCATTTAATCGGAGTATTGAAGGAACGCTTTGGCTAAAGCAGATAGTGAAGCGACCGACCATCAGCAGCAGCATCATCATCATCACAACAAACGGAATATTCTGTGGAAATCTCATCGCGATAAATAGAAGAAAAAAACACCGACGGCGGCAACGACGACGGCAACAACGACAACAACAACGACGTCGTGCGTTTCACACACAACAAACGCATAAACACACACACACGCGCGCGATTTATTCCCATCATCAGTTGTTTGCCAGAGAGTGAGTGAGTGAGCGAAAGCGCGCGCTTGAGTTGATTGGTTGGCCGAATGAAAGACTCTAAATGGTTGGTGGTAACGTTGGTGTCATGATGGAAAAAACCGGTGGTGATAAATTGCTGGCAAAAAATAGTCAACAATCGGATTTGTACAATTATAATTTGGATCATGTGTATTGTTCGGATGGTAATTCGCGGTATCGTACAACGACCACGGCTGGTGCGACACATTTAAATTTAGCGGCCGCTGCTGCCGATCTGAAATCGTTACGCAAAGAGAATAAACAATTGCAAGCCATGCTACTGTTGCATCTGGATTTGATACAAGAGCAAAGCAATCAGCTAATAGCCAAAGATAAACAATTGTTACAGTTGCGTGAAGAGAATGCCCAGCTTCGGTTGAAATGTGAACGAACGTCATCGGTGGCGGCGGTGACAACGACGACATCGACGACGACGGCGGCAGCGGCTGAACGACGACAAAATAACAATCGATACACAGTGTCACAACATTCAAGTGTTGGTAGTAAATTGTTGAATACAAGTGGCGGTAGTCCAACTATTGATTCGTATTTCACCACAGCCGCTGAATCAAAAGTGTCAACAAATCGATTACAACAACAACAACCACATCACGATGGCAAATTCAAGCAAAATTTCATCACAATCAATCAAAATGCCCTGATCAATAGTAATAGTAGTGATGAAAATCAAGCAATCAATGAAATTCGTAATCCAAATCAAATGACAATTCCAATCAAAGTGGAAGTGAACACAACAACCATCGACGACCCGCAATCGCAATCAATGAAAGTGATGAATGTGTTTAGTGATACAATGACGACGACGACGACGACGACCGCGGCAACGTTGGCAATGGCAAAAGATCAACGCTTTAAATCACATTCAAGAGCCCATATTTTAACACCGACCACCATCACCGCCGGCCATGATAAACCCATCACAACGGTCAAATACCGAACGGTTGACAACAGTATCATTGGCAATAACAACGGTAAACTCATCAGTAAAATTATACTACAACGAAAAAAGTCGGAAAATGGTGAGAAAATCTTTGTGCGTACCAAAAATATTGACCTAGGCAACAATAAAGTGAGTTATGAAAAGTGGAGCCCATTGCGGCAAATCAAAAATGAAGTGATCGAATGTAGTGAAATGGAAGCGGAATCAATCGTTTTAGAAGCGACAGCAACAGCAACAGCAAATACAACCACAAAAATTGAATCAATAGCATCACCGACATCAAATACAATGGCTGCGATACACGACGATGGCAACAGTTCGGATGCAATGGAAGCGAGCTATTTAACAACAACATCAGCTGATATGAGTCCACCGCCATCTGTCAAAACAACGCCAACCACGATAATTGACAATTCCGATTTGTCCACCGATTGTCCCATTGATAACATCAAAATCGAACAAGAGCTGGATGATGATATGCAAGATGAGGATGAAGATGAAGACGATGAACATTTACCCGATTCACCAGTGTACGATCCAAATAGCACGTTAGACGATTCACAAGACACATTAAATGTCGAATCATCGCTAACGAGCGATTTGCCACCGTTGTTAACTGCATCAGCCACAAATCCCAGCAGTCCCATCACATCAACGGTGTCAACGAGTGATTTTAATCAAAGTGAAATTTGCATGGACACCAATTCAATGACAATGAGCACAACGATGGCCACAACAACAACGGCCGGTTCAACGATTTTGTATCCACTTTCGCGCCGTCACATCAATCGTAATGCCTTTCTCACCACAAAAAAACCCTACAAAATACGAGAATGGCAACTGGACGAAATCGAAGCGGAGCTCAAGCAAGAAATCACGGATGAGGTGTGCAAAGAGGAGAATGAAGCAAATTTGGAGTTGCCCAAGTGGCGAACATGGGAGATGAGCAGTAATCGAGAGGCGCCGGTACGTGAATGGGAAGATTTAAGTGATGATACATTTGTGAGGCGTCATGCGAGATTTTTGCTTGATGAAAGAAAGCGTAAAAAATGGGACGTACAGCGAATACGTGAACAACGGACCATTGAACGGCTTAAAAGAAGGCATTGCAAAGATGAGCTGCAGAACCAACAGAAGGATTTCAATGAAGTGGTCACAACATTTTTCCCAACGGTTGATCAATTAAAATCGATACACATTACCGACGATTTGCCGGTATCAGCATTCGGCGAATCGATACCAGCCCTACCGCCCGCTGAATTCTCATTGCCATGGCAAATCGGCCAATCACTGGACTCAATTCCAAAATCAAGTGAATTTCTTAACGCACCCGCCATCACCGCCAATCCCATTAATTCGCGGTCCAATAGCATTTGCAGTAGTGCTAGCATCAACGAACCACCGACGCCATCGAATGTATCATCCATCATTTTTTTGGCAACGAAAAAACGCGCCGGTCGCACGAGAACATCCACCATCACATCCGCCTCATACACACTACCGCAAAACTCAAAAACGAGCACAACATGAAGCTTTGGCATCACCATTGCCGTTATATGGTCGTTTCGCATGTGTCCTGTACAGATTTAAGCATCATTCGCATTAAATGTTTAGTCTCGATCTCGCCGTTTGCGCCACAAAAAAAAAACCCCTCAAACAATTAACACGCATAATTTTCCTGGTGCGTACGCATGCAAGTGGCGCAGGCGAGCCGAGAAAAAAGCAAAAGTAGATACATTGAAGAGAAACCAAGAGCCTTTTCATGAAAAAAAAAAACAAAACAAAACAAAAAACAAAATGCATAACTTATATATGGGTTTTTAGTCAATTTAAATCATAATTAATTTTAGATACACAAAACATTGTCCATTACTCTTATCTTTTTTCTTTCTTTCTTTTTTGAAAAACAAACTCATCAGCCATTAAATTCAAAAGTCACGCAAAATACCTTTTTTATACAATTTGCACAACATTTAGTTAATTTATGTGTTTTTTTTTTCGTGCGCATTCTCGGTTATAAGGCTTATTTTTCCTGTGTTTATAATTTCTTCTTTGCATTTGTGATGCATTTTTTTTTGGTTTGAACCGCTTGACATTGTTGGAATATGCCAGAATGGAAATAGTACGTTTTTTTTTGTGTCGCTTCGATAGACTCCAGTCAATGAACTCTGTGTATAGCTGAAATAGTGTTAAGTCATTGGATGTTCAAAGTTCAATGTTCTGCATCAGAAAATTTATCGATAAAATTTTGTAATAGACGAATTTGTTTCAATTTACAAATCAATTCCATAGAAAATTTCCAAAATGAGAAGTTTTTCAATTGAAAAATTGATTTCCAAGTAGAAATTTTCCCAATCAAACAAAATATTTTCTCAAAAAGTCTCACAAATTCGTTTCTAAAATGAACCAATCCAAAATCAAAATTATGTAAATGTCATTTCTTTTTGTTGTTCAATGTTTGATCCATTTTTGTTTGTTTCCGCTTCGATGTTTATTTCCCTCTTAATTTCGCATCCTCGAAAATTTGTATAAAAAGAATGTCAACATTTGTAGAAAGAATGAAAAAAAGAAATGTTTTCCTCCCAGAAGAAAAAAATTCACAGAATTTTTCTAAACAAATTTACCTATACTGAGATTAAATTTTACTATTTTATCATTGAAATGAATTCATTCGAGAACACCAAACAGAAAGAAAAATTGTAACGAAAAATTCGATTCGCGTTTTTTAGTCTTAAGAAGTTGCGATTAATTCAGAAACAGAAGAGAAATGAAGCAAAAAAATGATGAATGTTACGAAATTTCAGCTTAGTTTGACGTAAGCCGGTGATATACGTGGAAAATTCAAAGAAGATTAACTAAAATAAACAAATAACGAATTGGAATTCGAACAAAGATTTGGTTTGCTGGTGTTTTTCTTTCTCCTCTTTTGATTTTAAGATTTCTTTGGAATTTTCCAGGCTTACAAGTTGAATTGATTGGGCGCATTTTCGCGTTGAATCAAGACCGACGGTGTCAGACGGTGGATTGGGAATCGGAATGGTTTGTATTATCATTGGCTTCCGTTATGAATAGATGACGATCACTTACGAAGAAATCGAAGAATATGTGAGTTTTCTATTTTAATCAAAATAGACATACAAAATCGATTTTCTATCATCCATTTCTCCATTCAACTTAATTCTCTCTCCCAATAAATCATTAAATCAAGAAACAAACTCGTAAGTATCTCTCGTTCATTCGTGTTCATTCGCCGAGTGCCGCTTTTTTAAAAAAAATACCGCTTACACTTTGTTGTCATTTTGGTTTTTTTGTTTACAATGCAGCGTGTTTGTTTGTGAACACAACAAAATTGCGCTTGTGTTCGTTGTTCAATACACATACATCACCCGGCACTCAGCTGTTGTAATTGTATTGGTGTGATGTAATCGAGCAGCGTTGATGTTGCTTCAGTTTTACTCTTTGAAAAATTCAGTCGTTCAATGACAATTGGACCGAAATTGAATTAAGAAAAAGGGTATTTTGACTGGGATATTGACACATATGGAATTTGCAAATAACTAGAAAATGCTTTGATTGAATGGACTGATCAACTTTGTTGTGACTTTCATTCAAAAATCTTCGCCGATTTGGACTTGAACAGAACAAACTTGCATATTTTCCACTTTTCTCAGTTTAGAAACACTTTCAGCAAGCAAAAGTGTTTGCAAAGAGATTTTCCTGATATTATTCTTTAATTTTTAACATCAATGCTTCAACACTCTTCTATTTTTCAAGTGAAGAGGAAGAAAAATCCAAAAATACCAACATTTCAATGAAAATTCAATCAATCTCCATCTAAGGTGAGCGCACTCTGTTGCAATAAAATCACTTTACACCGACTCACCGGGACCGGATTGCTTGACAGTTGAACGTCAGTCGTTGCGGCTATTTGTGATCGAAAGGTGATTTTTCTAGGGTTAGTATCATTAAAATTCGGTATTTACATTTTGGAAATAGCAATTTATTCGATAAAAATCAGACTTATTCGATATAGAAAGTGAGTTACATTTCGAAACAGGGCTATTTTGTTCAGAAAATAAGTGGATTACTCAGACATGTTAAAGTTGATAAAATAATGAACTCAGAAACTCAGTTAATTCTAATCAACTTTGACGTTCGGTTATGTGATTTATTCTGGAAGTTATAGCTAAGGTGTTGTATCATTCAATTTGAGGCAACGAATGATTTACAGCAGTGCATTGTACATTTTACCAAAACTTATTCTAAATAAACTTTGAACTGGTCGCTGTCAATTGAAATGAGTCTATTTTTGCACCAAAATAGCTTGGCAATTGCAAATACAGCTTGACGATTGATCAAAAGTGGTGGTTAGTAGTCTTCATTGTGGCATCTTCCAACTGAACTGGCAATATCGTTGAAATCAACTTCCGATAAAATAGATTGCCAGTCTGTGTTGCCTGGCAAGAATGCACGAAATATTCCCGCACAATTTATGCCGTCATAAAGTCGAATGCAATTTCCAAGTGTATTTACTGAACTTGCCGCATCATTCATTGCACTGTCCAAGTTTATGCATTGTTTTCCGTACATCGAATACGATTGGCAGTTTCCTTCGTAGAGAATGTCTTTGCACAAAATGATACCGTCATTCCTATAGACACCCGGACAGCAATACAATCCTTTTTCCGGGCAAAAACCATCTCTCACAAAATACGTACTATTTGGACACCGATTTCCACAGCCAACATCATAGCATTTATGGCCAATTTCACAATTTATCAATGACAAAACGATGAATAGCACAACTATTAACAGGATTTGCTTTTGCACCATTTTCAATGCTGTCGCAACTTCAATCACAATCGATCACTGCAGCTACATGCATCAATCCATGATCTTATATACAGCTTAATTGTCATATTTTCACTTTGGCGCAGATAAGAAATTGCAGTCATCATTGTTTCTGCCATGTCAAAGATCATAGATTTAGATTAGCATTTATAGCAAAATTTCTTAACTGATTTAAATTTTAAGCGTTTTTTATTGAATTTGGAACTAATTTGAGGATTATTTTGATGATTAGTGAATAATTTGTGAATGAATTTCATTAGAATCATGAATCAACTCAAAAATCATAGAACAATACTTAAAATTTGATTTACGTTTCCGATTGAATATTGTCTGGGTTCGCTTTTTTCATCTGTTTTTTTTGTTGTTGTCATTTTTCAGGAATGTCAGCGGCAACATTTGGTCAGAAGCGCTTCAATCCGGTAAATTCATTTTTTCCCTCTATTTCTCATGGTGATTTTCTTCTTACTGTGCATTTTTGTTCTGTAGGTGCCACCTGATAAGGGAAGTTTTCCATTGGACCACGAAAACGTCTGCAAAGTGCCGATGCTTCAGTATATGAAATGCTTGCAACTGAATCGAGACGACAGTACGGTGTGTCGACAAGAGGCGAAAAAGTACCTGGAGTGTCGCATGGAGAACAACTTAATGGCCAAAGAGGAGTGGAAATCATTAGGATTCCAACAACAACAACAACCTGATCAACCATCGACTGTTGAAAAATAAGAGTCAAACCAATTTTTTCTCTCGAAAAGTTTAACTTTTCGAATTAAAATAACGTTAGAAATATATGAAAACAATCAGTTTGTAAATAAGGTAGACAAAAGCGAAAATATTTGGCAACAGAAAGGGATTCAATTAGCATTTATTATGGAGAGTAGAAATATTTTGCTCGGTGTGACTGGCAGCGTGGCTTCTATCAAAATTGGCGAAATTGTGGAGAGATTGCGAAGCGATACGACTTTTAAATTCGAGGTTAGTGTCGTTTGAAAATCGTGGATTTGAAGTTTGTTTTTTGAAATTTTCGTTATTTGTATAAATATGTATATTCAAGTTATCGCCAACTTCAACTTAAAGAAGTAAAAAATTGAACATTTTATGATGAAATTTTCATCTATTTTTGCTTTGAATTCAGTTTCTGTTTCCATTTCCATTTAAATGATTCTTTTCAAATCTCAACCCTCCGCCAGATCAAAATAATAACAACAAAAAGTGCCAAACATTTTATCGAACGCAGTGAGAAACCGGTGACGGTGCCAATTCTAAGTGATGAAGACGAATGGGAAATGTGGTCGAAACGTGATGATCCAGTGCTGCATATTGAGCTCGGCAAATGGGCTGATGTTATGCTGATCGCACCGCTCGATGCAAACACATTGGCAAAAATGGCAACTGGTGTCTGTGATAATTTATTGTTATGCACAACACGTGCCTGGAATTTCGACAAGCCACTATTCTTCTGTCCCGCAATGAACACACGCATGTGGGAACATCCAATCACTGCACAACAAATTGCAACACTCACACAATGGGGCCATTTCGAAATCAAATGCATCGCTAAGCGACTGATGTGCGGTGATACTGGATTAGGGGCCATGGAAACACCAGCCAATATTGTGCAAAGGGTCGTGGAATTCTTGAAAAAGTCATAATCGATGTGAGCAAGTGTCTAAAGATAAAAATGCAAAAAATTAACAACAAAAAGAAAAAACAACGCAAAATGCAATAAAAATAGAATAAAATGTAATTTTTTCCATTTCTTGTCGATTAAACACAATGAAAAATAAAGAAAAAAGTAGAAAGAAATTGATGAAAATTGAACAAAATGTATTCGATTTTGTTGATTTAAACCAAAATTTTTGTTATTCATACATTTCGAACAATAAAAATAGAGTGAATCGTGATAAGCATCACTGAGAGAATCTGTGCACGTAGTTGTATTCCATGATTTTTCTTCGTGGCCTCGCAATTGTACAACATATTTAGTTTTGTAATATCGATTGACGACATATTTTTCCGTTGTCCCATGTCTTCAATTGTCCCGTCGTTGATAATTGTTGTAATAGTCGGACTATCCATATCCACAGCAAATGCATACATCCCGTAATGCATTATGCTTTTGAAGTCGTATGTTAGGTTGAAGCTGTCAAAAAATGATGTGTTGTAGCTTCTAAAATTATGCGTTTTGTTTAGTTTAATATTTTCCCAATGGATCTCGACATAATTATCACGACTGGGCACACTTTGCATATGGTAGAATCCTAGAGTATGAAGAAGTTCATGTATTATTTTTCCAATCCGAAAGCACCCGGCTCCAAGTCGCACTGCTTTTTTCAAATTGAGTCGTTGCTGTCCACCTTGATGACCGACTGCCGAATAGCATCCATCATTTTCTGCTTCAATTTGCACGTAATCCGTTTCATTTGTGCGTCGTATAAATCGTACACATGAAACTTTTTCGATCTCTCCCATCGCTCGAACAATCCATTCATTTTCCTCGGCAGTATGATTTGGAGAAAACTTGTATGCGACTATTGCATTTGGCCACCGATATTTCTCTTCAATTTTTGCATTGCGAAAATGGAAAATCTCATCAAGTTGATCGTCATTCAAATCCATATCGCCTTCGAATTTGGATCCATACTCAACATCATTGACCATGCCGGGCTCATCTATTTCGTATGTATTGTCAGCAGTACCGCATACAAAAAACACGAAAAGTATAAAAAAACGCATCCACTCCATTTTGAATGAATAAATAGAAGAGAATTTTTTTCAAATTTTTTTCAACGATACTTATACACTTTTTTAGTGCAGAAAAATTTAACAATGTTACAAATCAACGGACAAATACTATACAAACAAACTGTCACTTCGACATGACCATCATTAGTGTCACAAACAATAACATTACGCACGGTTTACATTCCACATTGCTGCTCTGTAGCGTACGTGTGTTTAATGGATTTCAATTTTGGTTATTTCCAACGAATATCATCTTTTTTAACGTTTCATTGGAAAGGGAAAAATTGGAAATTTTAATTAAGACAAGACGTAGCATGTTAACTCGCACACCGACGAATGACCTTAGTGCAAATGTACGTCCACAATACAAAATCGCGTGTACCATGCACAGAAGCCACAGGCACACACGCACCCATACATTGGCACGTTGATTTGTATACCGAAGCAAATGGAGAGATACCAACACGCATCAATTGGATGACGAACAGTAGACAACCCACTTACTTTCATAAAACAGCTAAGCGACTATTTACCTCTGTTGAATTTTCATACACACGCACGGAGGACAAGGTTCTGAAGAAAGTTGGATAAACAACCAATTTCCCTGGTCCCAAAAACATACACGAGAAAAATTCCAACATATTTTCACATTGAACTCGACAAGTGATGTCAATGTGGAATATTCGGGCCCAGCTGATTTGTTGTGTTTTGTAATTTGCATGTGTATTCCGAAAGTTGATTGATGAAAAACACTCAATTGATATAAAAAAAAATCTCTTTCAAGCGAAAATAAACGCATAAATCAAGTGACAGTGTACAAAATATTCGGGTCATTCTCTTTCACGATGTGCGACGTGTGCCTGTGAACAAAAACAACCGAAAACAACAACAAAAACTCATTGCACTGTGTGTGGTGGTGTTTTACAATTTCCAAGATAAACATATGGTTTCATCGATTGTGCATATTTGTTGCGTCGTGTGTTGTGCATGAATTTATTGCGGGGTGTAAAATTACGTAGTTCTCGTCTCTTTCTTGGGCCGCTAACGTGTCATTTCAACTAATTAAACGTCGATGTTTTTTTTTTTATTATTATTTTTGACAAGTGATAGTATCGCTGTGTGTTGTGTATACAACGGAATTGAATAATTCATTTGCTGTAATAAACATATATTGAAGGCAGTTTTTATCGTCGTCGACGTAGTCGTCAAAAGAGAGCTGTCGCTAGCATGCTAGACTAATCAATAAGTTTTGTGTGAAGTGAAAGTCATAAAAAACCGCAAGAAGAAAACCCAACGATGTTCAATGCATTCAAAAAGTTGGCATCCAGACAAGATGCACCGCCAGCTGGCGCAAATGCGACGCCAAATGGGATCAACACCACTGCATCGCCAGCAAATGCGTCATGCATTCCTATGTCCGGGTCACTGCAACGCAAATTCGCCAAAGGCGTTCAATACAACAGTAAGTTATTTTTTGGAATGTAAAGAGGCGAGCCAAAGAAATTAGTTCGAACTGGTTCAATCGCCAATTGAATGTTCATTGTTCAACCCATGGCATATGTTTTTTTCGATTGCAGTGAAAATCATCATCAAAGGCGATCGAAATGTAGGCAAATCGTGCTTGTTGGAACGGTTACAGGGTAGAGGTTTCATCGAAGCGTACACACCGTCGGAAGAAATAAATGTGGCCTCGATTCAATGGTCGTTCAAAGCAACGGAGGATGTGGTCAAAGTTGAAGTATGGGATGTTGTTGATCGTGGCAAAGCCAGAGCACGACCAACCGGTTTGAAACTCTCAACAGGAAATGCTCCAATCCCCGAACAACCGGCACTTGATGCCGAATTTTTAGACGTCTACAAAGGTACACACGGTGTCATTCTGATGATGGATATCACGAAAAATTGGACCTTTGAATATGCGTCGAAAGAACTTCCAAAAATACCCAGCGATATTCCAGTGCTCTTGCTCGGAAACCATTGCGATATGGCACATCATCGAGTCATTACACAAGGTCAAGCCATCGGACTCATTGAAGGATTGGGACCGTAAGTTCTGAATTTTGAATTCGATGGAACAGTTCGGGGTTTAAGTCGTTTTTCGTCCATAATTTTCACCAAATTTCACATTGCTCATGAAATAGTCCACTTGAATGTTCAATGTTCATTCAGAACATTTTTTAATTGATCCGAATTGGGCAAAAAGTGGAGTAAAAATTATGAAAATTTGAAAAAATTGAGAAGATATGTAGATAATCGAGAATTTTTCGGGTTTTATTGACAAATATTTAATTTTTTTCAGAATTTTTGAAGAATTCTTTGAATTTTTCATTCAAATTTATGTGAAAATGTAAGCGTTTCAAAGAATGTTCGTGTTTATAAACAATTTTCTCCCTTTTAGGCGCAGCGCCGAAGTATTGTACGGCGAAAGTTCAATGCGAAATGGATTTGGTCTTCGATTTCTCCACAAATTCCTTAGCTTACCGTTCTTGCAGTTGCAGCGTGAGACGTTGACGGCACTTTTGACTCGAAATAAACGAGACACGGAAGTGTGTAGCCTAGAATTAGCCGAATATTTGGTTAGTCAATTTTTTTTCTTCAATTTTGGAAATTGGAAGAAAAATGAATTTTCCAATCTTCTCCCCTTTACTCCCACAAAAAAATGCATCAATTTGTATTAAAACAATCAGAAAATGAATGGTTTTATTAAAATACAAATTTTCTTATATCACAGAGTTCACCCGATACCGATTACAATACATTTTTGGAGAATTTGGTAAATAAGCGTCGTCAAATCGCCGATGCGAATCCAAAGAATTTGACTCATTTCTCGGGCAATTCCATGAGTTCTTCCGTACCGCAAAATCCACAATCGCCAATAAATTCGGCCGTTCAATTGAATCCAGAGCTTCGTGCTACCAAGAGTATAATCATTGGTGCTGGTCAACCGATCGTTGTGCCGGGCCAACGTCCAATCGATAGTCGATCGATGAATGTGAATCCATTGAAAACTACATCCAATATAATGTTGCCAAAACCAGTCAATAATGAGGCTAATGGTGCAGTTCAATACTCAGCAGCACCGATGCGTGCTCCAAACAATGACGGCGGTGGCAAAGTGACGAGTGTTGAAGAATTTTGTCCAGATGGTGGTACATTGGACAAAGGATTTTTGGATGATTTGCCTTTTGTATCGGCGGATGGTCGACAAGGTGATGTAAATTACGATTCAGACAGTGATAGCAATGATACTGGCAATCCTCTTGTGGCCAAATTCCATGATGATCCATTCGATGATGATGTATCAATACTGAAGGCTCAAACCACACAAGCACCATCTAAATCCGAACCCAAAATCAATCCACTTGCTAAAAAGCAGAACAAAGGTTTGAGCCCAAGTTTGATTCCGCACGATTTAAGCTTGGTATTACCATCGAAACAGCAACGACGCAGCTCCAATTCCAGTGATGACATTGAGATTCCGCACATTTTAAAGGCGAAAACCAACGACAACAGCTCAGATGGTCAATCGAATGAAGAGTTTGATAGTTGGCTATCAGACACAAATCAACGACGATCACCTGAAGGTGGAGAAGATGAAGCGTCGCTGCCGAGCATTGATAAGTCGATCACGATTAGCGCTGTAACTTCCAAATTGGATCGACTTCAATTGGTCGACGGTGACGGTGTTGAAGACGGCGAGAAAGTCACTAAAGACAAGAGCTCAAAGAGTAAAAAAAAGAAGAAGGAAAAGAAAGAGAAAAAAGACAAAAGCGACAAAGAGAAAAAACGTAGTAAGTCAAAGAAATCCACCGCTGACGAACTTCTTACCGAAGGTAAAGATCATCTAAGTCATTCTGATCGCCAGGCCAACGATGTCAGCACCGCCGCCGAGGACGATCAATACGAAGCCTTGTAATTTTTGTTGTTGTTGACTTTTTTTGTCTATTTTGTTTTTCATTGCGAAAATTATTGCAAATTTTACATATGAAATTAAAAACAGAAATCGTTTCAACACATTTCGATCAAATATTCCATTCACAAACAAGAAGCTAAGCAAATTATAAATTAAAAAAGAAAATCATTTTAAAGAAATTGTAGATGTTTTAAAGAAACACAAAAAAAAATCCAGTTTATAAATTATAAGAATAAATGTTTCAATGTACAATTACGGGTGTTTTTCTCCTTCTCTCCGTCACTCTCCCTTTCCCTCCCGCTCTGTGTGTTAAACAAAGTGTTAAAAAGAAGAGACGAAAAAAAATCGCAACAAATTATAGAATTTGCATTTATTCAACTTATTAACATTTAAATTAATTTACAAGAGAAAAAAAATTCTTTTTCGGTCACAATGAATGTATCATCATATTCAATTTGTTTCTTCTTCTTCCTACTTATCATTTCCACGCTTAATTGTAAATTTCCATAGATTCGGTATGATCACTATTGTAGGTTTGTTGTTTTTTTCTTTCTTTTCTCCCTATTTGCAGTTTTGGTTTTTTTTTTTGTCGTTCATTCTAACACGTTTTAAATTACTACGTTCACCAATAATAATTTTGGTTTATTTGTTCCTTTTTCGATTGTTTTTAATTTCCATTTACAATTTTCCGTACCTCTCCTTACATCCGAGATAAAATGATTTTAAAAAAAAATGTATGTGTGTGTGTTTTGTGTGTGTGTTTAAATAAAAGTTAAATGAAAGGAAAAAATGGATGAGAGTGCGAGGGGGGGTGGTGGTGGTGGCGAGTTGCGCACACAAGTCTTCACAATAACGTTAATCGTCATTCGTCTACTTCTAATTGCCGAATCAAGAAAATGTTCATATCATTATCCTTGGTTGATTTGTACAAACGCAGGCGATGCTCATTGGCCAGATGCAGTATTGAATAGAATGCCACCGATGGCGATAGATTTTCGGCCATCGTTTTTGTCAACAGATGTGGCAAACTGTTGTAGATGATACCAAATGATGCGGCACCCTCTTTATATTTTTCACCATTGTTTCGCGCATTCACATGGCTAAACGTTCGCATCGATGTCTTTTCACATTGTTTTGTTATTGTGTTCAGGCACACCGATTTCATTTGCTTCATATCGATGACTTTCGCTCGACGCGCAAATTGAATGTCAATCTTTTGAACCTGAGAATGGGGAAGGGAGTGATGCAAAAATTGGATTAATATTTTTGATTTAATGTGAAGAGAAAAAGAAAAGAAAAGAATTTCGCTCAGTTGATTCAATCAAGCATATATACGACTAAACATGTTTTGAGATAAGTATCGCAATGAAAAAATCCGTGTTTCATACAACAACAACAAAAATACAGAAGGACAAAATGTGCCATACCATTTCTGGTGCTCCTTCGTAGTTCTGGCTGATTTCATGTTCGCTTTGGTTGTTCTGTGAATCGGGAATCTGTTCCGCATTTGGAATTTCAACATCATCAGGTACGTCATTCATGTGATCCATCATCACATTGTCATCGCGAACAATTTCATCGTCATCGGGTTGCTGCAATCACACAAAAAATATTTCGATTAAATTTTGGTTTTCCCTCAAGGTAAGATTTCGATTTCTTCATTTTTGATTGAAACTACAAAGGTAAAAACTTCGAGCAGAAAAGAAAGAACTCAACCACTCAACGGTTCAATATCTCGACCAATTTCCAAATTCAAACCGAAAACAAAGCATTTTCGTTTCCGAAAATCCGAAACCAAAAATTGAAAAGAATGATTCTAAAACCATCCGACCACTTACCACATTTGTACAGTAGGCGCCATCGTCGGCATGATCAAAACCGAACACATCGTCGGCATCGTGATCGTCGTCAATGATGTCGGCTGGTGTTTCGCTGGTCTTTTTCACCACTGAGAAGCTCGGACAATATGTGTAATAGTTGAACAAATTGCGATCGATGTGCAAATCGGTGGGTAGTTTCAATTTCTTTGAATCCCATCGTTTATAGACGTTGGTCTTTTTGAATTTTTGTGCGTGCTTTGAATCGATTGATGTGAACACTTCGTCATCGCTATCGCCATCCTTTTCGCAAACACTTTCAATGAGCGTTGTAAATCGAATCGGTTCGATTTTATTACGATTGGCTTTGCGTTTCTGTGGTGCTGGTGCAACGGAACTACCTTCTGAGGTGGCCAGTGAATCTCGGTTCATGGTTAGCTTGCGTGATTTACGGAATTTCCAGTATGAGGGACCAGCCCAGAATTGATTGATGTTGTCCAGTGGCCGGTACGAGTACTCGAGCTTTGTGGTATCGGATGGTCGTAGATCTTCGATTATGGTGGTTTTGCGTCGCAAACCTTTGCACGCTGTTATCGCTGCCCGATCATCTTGCGTCAAATCATCGAAATCATTGCCCGCATCGAAATCCATGACATCCATGGCGTAGTTATCGTCGGTAGCCGGCATCGGTTCCACTTCAGCATCCATATCGAATGCATACTCCAAACATTGTGACATATTGAACGATGCACTCGCCGCCTGGGGCTGCTCTTCCCTGAAGAGAGAAGAAAGTTCTTTGGTTAATTTTTGGCTCAATTGGTTGGAAAGTGTAGAGAACAATGGCAATTCATTTGAATTTGCCTTGTTTTTCTTTGCATTCAGTGGGTCAGAATAAAAGTTCCCAAGCAAATAGCAACAATCTGAACAATTCAAGGCATCTTAACTCTTAGTGAAGGTAGAATTTTTGATCGAAAGAACAAACTCGGTCTTTTCGGAAAAGAATCATTTTTGAAAATGAAAAATGAGAATAAGAATTGAAAAATATCGCAGTCAACTTACTCCACATCGTCTTGCCATGGTGTGTTCGTAATGACATAGCCTTTCATCTCCTGTCGCAGTGTGTGTCTGGTGTCAATTTTTAGCTTGATTGGCAGTTCTGTGTAATCGATATCGCTTTCATCATAATTGTCATTGGTGTCAAAATTAATGGGTTCGTATGTGCTGTTATCCCAGAATTGATCGTCCATCGTGAGTTTTAGATCGGAGAATTTCGTTTGCAATAAATCCAATAGCAATTTATTTGAGCTCGATGTTTCGCCCATGATTGAATTCAATTTGTATTGCAACGAATCGGGCATTTGGACCAGTTCAAGGCGTGAATTTAGCGTACTCTTATTGGTGGTGACCGTGCTGACTTGTTTTCTTGTACGTTTCTTTTTGACCGGCGCTTTTTGTTGGCCACCCTCTTCGGTCACTGTTTCATTCATCTCCTGATCAACATCATCATTGGCTGATGGCGAATCATCTGTAGCAGGAAAAAAGAATTTTGCATTAGAACACGGCGTATTATTGACATTTTGCAAGCGAAATGGTTCGGAATGAACCATTTTGAATAGATTAATTGTTTGAAATTGAAAGAAGAAAATAAATGAAGAAATGAATGAAGAAGAAGAAAATGGAAAAAAAGATTGAATAAAATGTCCAGTGAAAATTTGATTTTTAGAAAAAAGAATGAAAAAAAAAAATTCAAAAGTAGAATATGAACTCCAACATTCTAAAGATAAGAATTAAAACTCAGTGATAAAAATAATCAATGCATAGTTTTGATTTCAAACCAAGCTTGGTGCACTGCATCAATGGTGTACTTACTTTTCATGCGTCCCAAACCGGATGACATTCGGACAATGTCCGAGTGCACGGAATCGACTCTTAGCCCATAGATTTTGGTGGTTGCTTCGAGTGAGCTGCCAACAATTTGAAAATTTTTCAATGTTTTGTGATGGCTGCCCAGCAAATTGGCCAAATTATCGATCAATGTGAGCGTCCATGCATTCTTCTGACAGATTTTCTAAATAAATCGAAAAGAATTGATGAGTCGTGTATTTACGGTATTGTTTACATATAAACATTGAAATCCAAACAAGACAGAATAAACATGAAGAGCTGCATGAGACAGAAAACAATGACTTACATTATCATGAAAGATTTTCAGACAATTCTGAAGTCCTTGTTGTTCTTCCACCAAGTTGTCGCTGGTCTGTGTTGTGTTGGTCGATGATTTGCCGAATGTTCGACGTCGTTGAGCGCGTTCGGCTTCATCATCGTTTTGCTGTTTGTAAGAAGAAGAAGAGAGAAAAAAACACATAAAAATGCGATTGTCTGCGTTGACAGTTTGGAATCATAGTCCAAATCAAAAACTTATTCTAGAAACAGCAACAACGATGAAAAAAAGAATGTTATGAAATTATAGCGATAGTAACCTCAATCGTTGGTCCATTCATGTTGGTTGAGTGCGTGCGTATGTGTGTGAACGAACACCGTAAACGATCCCTTCGAACAACACACTTCGTTGTTCTAGCTTGTTAAAATTGAGAATCCGGTGCAATTTTTTGTTTTGTTAATGTAAACTGACAATCGAAACACTCGATTCCATCATTAAAATGTGGCACGCGTTTCGCCGTGCAATTGTTTATTTGAATACAAGTTTTGGTTTATATTTTTCAATAGCTATCTTTCTCTCTTGCTCACTCTCTCTCAGTCCGTTGTGTTAAAAATGACGATGCAAGTTGAAAAACACCATTCGCTCGCATGCAAATTATTTATACTTTATTACAGAGATATAAAGTGGAATAACAGCGAAACGGAAAATTGAAGGGAAAAAAGGCCAAAATTGGTATTTGAAAGAGTCGATTTTTTTCTACTCTCTTCACTTTTCGTTTTTTTTCTTTTTTTTATTTTCGATTTGCGCGATTTTGTGTGTGTTATTTTTCTCACGGACACGCAACGAAAAAAAAAATTGTGTGCTTCCCTTCAAATGCAATGAGTCAATCACAACATTCTCAACAAATTTAATCACAAACGGTAAAATGAAACAAAATATTCGCTTGAGTTTTCAATATAGATTCTTGGCTATTATTATTTTTATTTTCTGACGAAGACGAGACAACAGAAGAGGAGAGAAAAAAAAACAACAAACTAAATTTCATGTGTGCGTTTCGATTCGCAACACATCAAAACACAACTTAACATCACACACTTTGTGTATCGTCGACGGTACGTCAAAAAAATCGGTCTAGCGACGTTTGGCTCGTCGGTCGTTCGTTGCTTGTGCTTCACTTTTCTTTTTTTTTTTTTTGAAAACAATGCACGAATGGCAGTTCAACGATGGAGCGAATGCGAAATACAAGCACAAACAAATACGCGCAAACATTCACTCATGATACAACAAAAATGGTGACTGAATGCGCGCAGCCATTTGAAACTTCACACACTCGCTGTCCCTCTTCCTATCACATTCACTCTCTCCCTCTTTCTCCCGGTCAATCTCACTCTACCGTTTCCTCTTTCTCACTCTGCCTCGTGCGCGCTCCCTCTTTCCCAACCATTCAAGCCATACACATTGACAAACTCAACCAACTGTACGGGTTTGTTGCATACAAACACACACACACACACAAAACGTCAAACTCTTTTTGAATATACTCAAACGGTTTTTTCCAAGGCAAATGCACCCATTTCTGAATTTGTTTTTTTTCGTTGCTAATTTTTTTTTTCGTTGCTATTATTTAATTTACACTTTGATTCGATTATTTTCGACTTAATTCAATCGAATAGGCACTTGCTTGGACATTTATGCGAAAGAAAAACAACAAACTAATCAAATGAAAATAAACTAAATTCTAAATGGATATTTACCATGTATCCCGTGTTGCTTAAATTTCGAAAAATTGACCGACGAACCGGAGTTTCTTCAGCATCACTTGGTGCGGTCATTTTTGATAATTCACTTTACAATCACACGCTATCGTTTTCGATTTGAATGACAACTTTTTTGCTGGAAAAAAATTCACAATCGAATAGATTTTTGGTATATTTTACGTTTATAAACACAAATACTGGTAAACCCAATTGGATGCGCGTTACTTGAACGTAAAACCGTTGACAGTACACTATATACTCAAGCAGATAAGAACAAGCCAAACGACAAACAGCGGTGACAGATGGATTTACATCTCTCGCGAAATGAGATGCCAGTTGAGTACGAGGCCAGTTAAGTACATGGTGGCTATTGCAACCAACTTTAGGTTGATTTGTGCGGGACTGTTGCAGGATTGATTCAAAGTCATTTCAAAAGTTTCATTTTTTTCTACATTTAAAAAAAAAACAATTAAAAAAAATTCTAGGTTTTTAATGAACAAAAATAATTTTTTCCTTCGGAGCATTTCATTTTTCCCTATCTGCTTTTGCCATTTAATCGTCGTTTTTGCCGTCTTCTACTCGCCTTTCTGCTATCTTTGCTTAAGTATCGCGCGAAAATGTTGACAGATTCAATCACAGGTTTCATTTGTCAGTGGCGAGCACACAACAGAAATTTGTGCATCAAAAATATATTTTTTTTTGTTATGAAACAAAACAAACGGCGTATTTTCGCTCAACAAGTTGTGAAAATTTCACAATAAAACCGATTGAACGTCCGGTAAATAGCATTGATAAACGGTGACAAAACATCAATGGGAAGCTACAAGTGGATGCTTTATTTTGGTGAATAATCATCAACCTAACCTCTTCAGTTCAACATTCAAAACATTGTGTATTTGGCCGTTATTAACAATTTCATCAACAAAATGTTGAAGTCATGGCGAAATTCGGCACCAAAATCAATGATATCTGTGATTCAATCGCAATGCAGCTACTGTTCGAGTAATGACGATGATGGTAAGCGTGAAACGCGTGAACGAATGCTGCGTATTCGTTATGAGCAGAAGCAATTGTTTGGCCGTGTGATTCGGAACAGTGTTGATTGTGCGAATGTGTATACGCCTGCGCCGCATTCTATTGAGATTGATCAAGTTAAAATTCCCCGCATCCAAAGTGATAATGAGTGCAACGTACCGGTATCACCATATGATCAGCCAAGCGATGCGGCTCAAGTGCCTGACATTCGATTGGCATCGCCGGAACAGGCGAGTGAATTTCATTGGCTGTCACAACGCGCACACATCAAAATATTAAAAGGTAATAAAGATAGCAAAAAGAATTCACCGTCAAAGAAATCAGGATCAGCTGCACCGGAGGAAGGTACAAATTCGGATCGTTCCGATGCATTAGATGTAAACAAACCCGAATCACATACAACCAAAATGAGTCCAGCCCGTGTCATAATATCAGCAAAGAATTTGCTGCAACAATTTGTGTTGAATCGACGCAATGACACACCAGCTATCCCATTCGATGAAGCCGGTTTAAAGTCAATCGTAAGCTATCCACTAATTTGTGAGAAACGATCGCCGACCCAAGTGCATGAATTACTTGCCGATGTTTCATTGCGATTGCCATCAATAAGCAAAATATTGCAAGCAACTATGCCCGTTTCGGCCCGAATCGCATTACAAAAATGGAAACTAGGCAAAATTGAAGAGCTCGGCATCGATGGTTTCAAGAAGTATGAAAAAGAGACACTCGCTAGAGGAAAAAACTTTCATTCGGCTATAGAGAATTTTCTTAGCCAAGGTGAAACACCGCCAGATGACTCGCCCATCATTAAATTGTGGCAGAGTATTGACAGTAGTTTGAATCAAATTAAACCGAAATCAGTACTTTTGGAACAGCCCATCCTGCATGCCGATCTCAAATACAAAGGAATCATCGATAATGTGTCGCTTGTTGAGTAAGGAGGTTTTTTTTTTATGGATTCTCAATCTCGTTGAAACTTAATTGTATTGATGAAGCTTGTGAATTTTTTTGTTCGGAAAAATTATTTTTTTCTCCAAAATTTTCCACTAAAATTATTGTTTTCTTTTCCTCTTCCAGAAACGAATTATGTGCCTTTGAATGGAAAACGTCTGAAAAATCAAAACCGCGACTAGCCTCAACCTACGATGCCCCAGTTCAACTGTGTGCATATTTGGGTGCACTAAACGCTGATCCGCGATATGATCTAATGGTGAAGAATGGATGCGTTGTTGTGGCTTATGTAAACGGTGATAAAGCGAATGTGTTCAATATGTCTGAAGCTGATTTGCGAAAGTATTGGCTAATGTGGCTTCAGCGATTGCAAGAGTATTGGATACGTGTTCGAGATGGCACATTACCTGATCCCATTTAGCAGTCATACTTACAGTTTTGCTCTTCCATGGGAAAAGTATCTACGACTCAATGGATATTTTCTTTTGTCATTGAAATATCTCTGCCGGCGTCAAAAATAACTCTTCAAAAATTGAAGTCATCAAGAAAAAAAACTGTCTTTCGAGCTCAAGCAAAATGGGCATTATCCTCACCCGTTACTCTCATCACTCAAGCCAAATGTCCGAATGCATAAATATTGGGATGAATAAACCTGGATGACAAATTATCTTGTTCACCACTGTAGTTAAGTCATATTATTGTTAAATTGTACTGGTATCAATTATCAAAGAAGAATGTCATGGAATCGAAGAAGGGTAGAAAACCCATAGAAGAAAAAAACAATTGTTGAATAATTCTACTACGCTTCATCGCATCAGATTGATCGATGGAAAAGGGTCGCTGAAAATGTAATAAAAACCAAATCACAAATCGAATTACTGGTTGTATCATGATTTATTTACATGTTTAATTGAATTTGGTACAAACGAGGGCAAAAAACAATTTATTCGTGTGTGTCTTTTTGTGTGTGTGTGTTTGTGTTGGTATTTGTCTAAATGCTTTGATTCAATTTGTGAAGTGGTCGAATGGGGCAACGAAAGAAAAAGCACGATGAAATCTGCATTATCGATCTGCATTACCATAATTTGATTATTTCCTTGTGCGGATGTTGCTTTGCATTCACCACTTCAATATCAATAGATTTGACTAAAAAAATATAGAACTTTTGAATAGAATTTAAAGAAAAAGGTGAAACTTAGATGGGGGAAAAAATCAATTTGGTTCAGAAACCAACGAAGGCCAAAATCTGGGCCAAAAAAAACCACCTGGCATGAATTGAAATTCAATTATTGAATATAAACAAAAAATAACGAAATCAAATGCATCATCATTTTCAACATTTCGTTTCAGTTGTTATTTTCTCCATCTTCAAAATTGTTACGTTTCTAATGCTTAAAGGATAATTACTTTGTTTGTTTTTCCATAATATACATTTAATATGCGTGCTTATTGTTTTGATAACACTGAATACAATACAATACAATAATAATTGGTTTGCAAATTTTATTTGTTTCATTCTCTGTTTCACAGTTTTGGTTGTTGTTGTTGTTTTTTTTTCTGCATTAAATATCTGCGCTTTTGTAGTTTGGACGAATTTTACATAAAATATTTAACAATTGTTTTTTTGTCGATACTTTTTTTTTCTCTTTTCATGTTCACTAAGTTTTTTTTTATTTTGCTATTACAATAAATAAGTAGCTTTCCATATTTGTGTGTGTGTGTGTGTATGTTTCTATTTCTGTCTTTGGCTTCTGTCCGTAAAGTTAAATAGGTGTCGGTAGAATGCAACGGAAAATAAATGCTTTTGCATTTCAAACGCAATTTGATTCAAAACTCAAAAGACTCTTCTCCTATATACGCGCCAGATTCAAAAGTCAATTGTGGATTCTACTCTCAATCGTCATGTTGTTCTACGTGTTTTTGTGTGTATGTGTGTTTTGGTTGTTTGTTGTTGTTGTGCATAATTTGTACGATTATCTCCGCTTAATTAATTTAAATAGAACGAGTCTCTGTTGCCGCCGGCTCCCCACAGTATCATGCAAATAAATTCATGCAATCATTGCCAGGGGATCAGCAACATTTGATTTACATGAAATTTTGTTCAATTCATAACATATTGTTTGTTTCTTTAATTCGAACGATGACTCTATTTATAGTATTTCGATAAATGATTTGTGTTACACATTGATTTCAAAATGAGTTTCCATTTTTTTTTTGTCATGAGATGCTTTTTTTTTTTTAAATGAAATTTCAGTATTTTTTTCCCATTAAATATGTATGGTTGGCAACCATTGGTTGCTTTTCTCTCTTCTATTTTTTGTTTGTTTTTTAATTGAAGGACAGAATTCTTCTAGCTTCAGTCCAGCTGAAGCTATTTGATTTTGTACCAATTCAAAATTGTTGTCGAATGCCGTCGTTTTTTTTTTGTTGCCTGTAGAAAATGTGTCTCGATGAAAATAGTGTTTTGTGTGTTCGACAGTTACGAGTAAATTACAAGACAGTTGTACAAAAAAAAAGCGATAGGAATACGATTCTACGCCTCCCTCGCATCCACAGCAGAGTGACAGAATGCGGCAGAAAACAGGAGAAATGAAAGACATTGGTCGGGGCATCGATGGGGTTAAGAAATGATGGTCAAGGTATAAGTATATAGATAGTGAGTAAAAATTGATGTAAACGTATGTCTCTGTCATTTTGGACCGTTTTTTTTCTCTCTTCTTCTTCTTTGGATAAGTGTGTGTGTTTGTGTTTCAAGACTAAAAAGGTATTTCAATTCTAAGCTAGACGCTCCTGAGCATTTTGTTTACCATTCATTTACTTCATTTTTCTTCTTCTTCTTAAGAAGAAGTTCTTCGTCTTCTTCTATTTCATTTTTCTCATTTTTTGGTTATTTTCTTTGCTTAATTTTTCGGTTGTTTCTCTGCATTTGTTGCTTGTTTTTACGCGCTACATGCAAAAATGTAGAGCTATTGTTTTCTTTTAAATGTGATTACAGCTACAATGTGTTTTGTGTATGTTTGCGTGTGTGTTTGTGTTTGTGCGTCGGTCAAACACGATAAATCAATTGCCTTGCATCTAGATATATCGAACATGAAACGACTACATTACACAAAATGACTTGTCTATTAATATTCCTGTGTTTTATTCACTGTTTAACAATAATATCTTCACGGTTTTTGTCTTGCGCTTTATTTCTTGTTGGTTGCATAAATGGTTAAAATTGTATGTGTTGGTATTTAAAAATTGTACCATTTTTTTCTTTGTTTTAAAAATATGTTACACATCAGGAGTACGACATCTTATAGTTTTTTTTTTTTTTTGTTCTATTTCTGCAAACTTTTCCACCCACAAAATGTGAGCGATGTGAAAAAGTCCGTTTGGTTCGGTTTCTGTGCATTGAAACCATTAAAATGCACCTTATCTATTGGCTACTGAGAGTGAAACTGTCTCGTTCTACTTGAGAGTGAGACCGTTTTTTTTTGGATCAAACCCCAACCAAAAATCAAGCTGGATTTATTACGAAAACGGGTATTGTGCGTCGTTTTGTGATAGACTCTCTCGCTCACTTGCTCTCAGTTTATCACCATCAAAACTAACCTAAATTTTCAGAACCCAACAGAAACATGAAAACATGTTCGTGTTCAACACTCACATTCGCCAAAGAAACAAAAAATTACAACAAATTGACTGACAAGCATTCAGATACATCTATTCCATTGTCTATTTCTTTTTTCTCCACATTTCTGCATGCGTTTTGATTCAATAATTTTTTGTCTGCTTTTGTCTGTTCAACATTTCTGTCTTTGAATGGCATGCCATAAAAATGCACGGTTCCAGTCACATCAAGATGCACGGCTGCAGATAAATGCGAGAACAAACAACTTTATTCGACAGTCGAAAAGTTATACGGCTAATGTAGTATTACATTCATTTCAATATTATTTAATCCATCATGATGGAACATAAAAGAGGAGCGAAAAAAAAACGTAATTGCGTTGCGTAATTCGTTTTGTTCGTCTTATCTTCTGCTCTTGATGATTAACGCTCATTTTTCTTTCGAACAAGTTTCGCTTCAATCTCATCGAAGATTTGGATTTTGAAGCTGATTTCGCTTCGAAAATGGATGCAAACGAATGTTGACGCAATGAAACATGTTGGCACTGGAAAATACCTTATCCAAACTACAGATGAAACGGAAATGATGTCAAACCGATTTTTTCGAGAGAATTTGAGATTATTTCGGAAGTTTTGCATTCGTGTTTTGCACGCAACTTGGCGAATTTTTGGGTAGAACGAAAATTTCTTTTGAAAAATTCCCGCATGCTGTACGATGAACGTCAATGGAATTGATAACAAAGAACAATTCCAAAATGTAATATACATTTTGATGCATTTTCATTTGGGAAATGCTCAAATTGTTCCACATTTACTCATAATAGTTTTGCTCTATCATTTAAAATTTCAATTTTTCTTGGGTAGAAATTCGATTTCTTCACCGTTTTCCCTCTCGCACTGCACAATCAACCATATCTTTTGTAGCTTTTTCTTCTTACGGAATTCTTAATTTCCGATGGGTCTTCTATAAAATTTAACACTTGAATCGTTTCAAATGGTTTTTTTTTTCATCCAAAGCATTTCAGCGCAAGTTGTATGAAGGTTGTTTTAATGCGTTCTGCCGTTTGTGGCCTGTGAAAGAAAAAAGAAGGAAAAACCATCGTGTTCGCGTATAAATCTTCGCGATTTAATCTTTTGCTCGAGTTTTCGCATAAATCTTGAGTCATTGAATGAGGTTTTTTTTCTTCAAATGGATATGCATTGAGTAAATAACTTTGGTGGTTTCTGATCTTCGTATTTGCACTTCGTTTTTCCCCCCCAATTCAACGGTAGAAAAAAAATCAGCGTCGAAAAACGGTTTTTAAATTCTTCGTTGAATATGAATGGTTTTTTTTTCTCGAGTAAAGCATGAGTTCTCGTCTTTTAAATCGCTAAAGAAACACATTTTTCTTTAAAAACCACGATTTTCCGTCACTTTCCACAACATCGTGAATGATTTCTCGTCGCAAAAACGCAAAAACGAAACAATTTTCTCTTTTTTTCCAACGATTTTCTCTTTCGAATCTTTCATTTAAATCTATTTTAATTGAAAGTTTTTTTTTTCGCCTCGATCTTAACGACGAGAGAACATTCATTTTCAACCAGAAATAACAGTTTCTCCACGAAATCACAAAGTGAAAATGTTTTCTTTTACAAGAATGATAACAAAAACCTTTCTCGAATTATCACTTTTCCGATCATTTTTATTTTCGCATTGTCTTTCACATCATTCTTGCTCCAAATGTTCCATGTACATTTGCTTGATTTCTCCAGTTTTTTTTTTCGTTGAGATTTCTCATTTCGTTTCATTTCTTCCTCATTTTTCATTCTCACCGAAGAGAACAAACTCACTTGCCAAATCATGTTCGAGTCGAAAAGAAAAGTGACGCTTGTGCAGCGAAGAAAATGCCGTTGTCACTTCATCATCAGACACCTGTCAAAATGCGCCACTGTTTCGGCGCTGCCTTTTTATGCTCAATAAATCATTGATTTGAATTGAGAGGCGAGCAAAGCATCAGCGTTATTTGGTTTGAATTGGCAAAATATCAGCATCGCTTGGTTTTGTTTTCGTTTCTTCTAATAATCTTTTGGTTTCTCTTCGTCAATTATTTGAATGCACACCATTGAACTGGTCTAAATGCGCGGTAAAATCAAATATCAAAAGTAAAGTCTCCAGAATTGGAATTAATTGCGGTCACATTCATTGTTTAAATGCATTGTTTCGTGTTAAAATTGCGGCAAGTGTCCAAATCAATGTTCGATTCAAACACATGTTTCATGGTTATTCTTTCTTCTTTCAGTTCGTTTCAAATAGAACTAAATTTCAATGGGTAACCGAATTCTTGTCTCCAATCACCGTCAATATTTTGCAAAAATCTCAGCTGTTTTCTGCTTTTCAATCAAAATGTGGTGTTAACATATTTTTTTTTTCTTTCATATAAATCGAATGGCATTTTGCGGTTTGATTGTGGTTCATACAACAAAAAAAATTGAATCACAATTCGGTTCTTTGGTATATTTTTTACGGTTTTGTTATTTCTTACATTTTGTTGTTGGTTTTTGTGTGTTGTTGCAAAACATCAATTTGTCACAATATTCAAAACGATGCTTTTGGTATATATTTTCAAATCTGCGATACAATGGTTTGAGTTTTTCATCATTTTTCCATTTATTTCATCCAAAATAATAACAATCATTTGAAAAGGCTGGCTTTTATCTGTTTTTTTTTTTCCAAGGTACATATTGAAATTGATTTCGCTGCAAACAATACTTAAAACAAACGATAATAAAATATTACGTATTTATGGCATAACCTCTTGCGAAGTAGCTGAACATTGAAATAGATTTATGATAAATATGTTTTAAACTTTTTTCTTCTCATCTTTTTGTGTTTTTTTCTATGTCGGTTGTTACTGCAAAACTGTTGGTAACTATGAAATTGTTGCCGTTGACTCCGTCCAACTTCTTGAAAATATTCGACACAAAATCTACTTATGAAAATGTAATTCTTCTTCGTTTTTCTTTAACCGGATCGCGCAATTTTACTATGAACTTTTCATTGGGAAAAGTCTTTTTTATCTTATTCCGAAAGGAATAGTGCTCTTCTGTTGGCAAGTCAAACAAATATTTAGTTTTTCTTTAAGAATAGAAATTCTGTTAATTTTCTGTTGAAATCGGTTCATTCTATTAGAACTCTGCCACGTGGGCACACACCCATGCAGATATCATGTGTACGATATCCACTGGACATCGTTCCATGAACATTGTCCAATGAAAATTGTCCCATAAACGTTGTCCCATGGACATTGGACATCATCCATGTGCAGTGGTGAGCAGATGATGAATTTTTGTTACTGTGATCTGATTTGGTGTGGCTTAATACTAAATTTATGCGTTACATATAACTGTCTAAAGCGAGACATACACAAACATGAAATATCGCATTTGATATGCTTTTCTTCACTTTTCCACTTCACCGTGATAAGTGAGTGTGTGTGTGTGTGTGTGTGTGTGTCTTGGGTTATGTTGTGGGATGTGTGGATTTTGAGCTAATTGGCAAATGAAGTGCTGCAAGATAAAAGATCTAACGGCCTTTAGTCAGGAAAAGCTCTCAGGATGCTCGAGAAAAAAGAGGGTTAGAAGGAGTAGGGTAGAGGATGTGTTACAGCTTCGAAACGGCAAATGCAATTCAAATGCAAAAAAATAATTACTTTTTCTGTGTTGCTGCTGCTGCTGCTGGCTCTTTTATTTCTCTTTTTCATCTTCACACACACATTGCTAAATTGGAAAAGTTTTAAATGACCAACACCGAAATTCGCCCATCGAAAGCGCTTAATCGCGAACGACATTTATATTATTAATATGTAATTTTTTTTGTTCGTTATTGTTACTTTTTTCCGCACACAAAGTTTTGTTTGTTTTTTCACAGTTAAGGAAAAAGTGTATTCAAAACTGTAATGTTTTTTTTTCTTCTTCTTTGTCTCACTTGCATACCGATTCAGAAAAATTATAACGAACGCCGCAATTGGAATCTAAATTGAAATGGTTTTTTTTTTTGCTTTGGTTATTTACACACAGAAAAAATAAAACGATTTTAGCTGCTCTAACTTGGTTGTATTTTTTTTTTTGTTTGGTTTAAGTGCAAAACTAATTCAGTTGCCTTTTTGGGGTGAAATTGTTACTTTTTTGTCTGATTTTCTTTTCTTTTCTATTTAAACAAATGTTGTCTCGAAAAAAAAAATCGCACGCATCGTTTAAACTAACACGTTTAAGCGTCGTTTTTTTGTGTTGTGTTGTGTTTTGGTTGCTGTTGTTGTTGCTGCTGCTGCTGCTGCTGCGGCGGTGGCGGCTGTTTGCTGTTGCTTATTTGTCGAATTATTTTCACGATTTTGCATTTGCTGAGGTGGAATTACTATTGTTATTGACAGCAGCTGTGTTATTCTTTGAATTGGCACTATCGAACCCTGTGATTAATGTTTCTATAATAAATTTAATAGTTAGCTTATAAATTCCTTCTACATTCTCCGTGTATCGATCGCCCAGTGTGTTTTGCACAGCCGATAGAAATGGTTTCTCGATTCTCTACAGTTGGCAGAATAGAAAAAGGGAGGAAAGAAGAAAATGCATTTGTGTGAATTACATTACAAAATTACGGAATGCGAGCATGAATTGAGGAAATTGTTTTCAATGATTTATCGAAAACTGTTTCCCATGAGAGATTTTACAGATGAATAAATCTTACGCGCGCATGATGACGTTGTAATTTAATTTCGATGAAAATTTATTATTATTCAACTTGATCAACTCAACAAATTCCTTTTGCCCACTTGAGCATTGAGAGACTTGAGAATTGGAGGAGGCTTGAGATTTGTGTGACTCAACATTTTAACACACTTAAAAGTGTAGCAGGAATTCGAAAGTCATGAAAATTTGATTCTCAAAAATAAGAACTTAAGATTCAAAGCAAGAAATTCAAAGCTTGAGATGCAGAACGAGAGAATTTCAGCAATTTAGATTCGGAACTCGAGAATCAGAGCTTGACATTCGAAATTCAAAGCACTCAAAATTTGGAAGACAATATTCAAGTTTTTAAAAACTAAGAATTTAAAACACATGAACAAGACTTGCACATGATTCGAAATTGAAGATACACAACTGAAGACTCGAAATGTTTTGGATGAAGAACAGAAACAGGATGAAAGACTGAAAAATAGAAGAACTGAAGAATTCGAAACAGATTATTGAAAACTGAGGATGCAAGTAGCAAAAGTAAAAAAAAAAGATGCACACAACTCAATATGATGTAAATTTGAAATGCAAAGCGCTCGAAATGTGACGTTTGAAAGCTTTTGTTTCAATTTTTGATTCCACGAACAATAACAATCAAAAAAAGTACAGGAAACTCAGAAGTGCCAAATGCATTTTATTCAACTAGTTCAAAATGCCACGAAAATTATATTATTGCCTTTATTCCATGGAATGAAATAAACACTGTTCTAAGGGAGAGACACGAAACTTAAATGAGTAAAATTAAAACATTATTCAACGATAATAGGAAAAATAGAAGAAATTAGTGAGTTTGGTTTGCCAATGTTAACGCTTATGGACATATTGTTTATTGTTTACAAAATAGTCCCGTTAGGTCTTCCATAAGCGTTTTATTGACAGTGTAATATGATCTGCAAGCGATTTTACTAGAAATAATAGCACAATATTAGCACTTTTGCACCAAAACTAGAGAAATTAGAGGACATAAAGCAAAAAATATATAAAATTGAGTGTAACTAGACTCTAATAGAATTCGTGTCTCGCCCCTAGACACTGTTTCATTCCAGTGTTCAGAAACAGCACATTTTTCGCCGCCTGTTTATGTGTTTTTCACCTGTTTACATTAAAAAAAAAAAAAACGAAACAAGAAACTGTTTCACACTTACCCAAAAGTACTCGGCTTTGAATTCGGGAATGCGGGTATGTGATGCGCCCACTTGATGCAGATAGTCAAAGAAGGTGTCAAGCTCGTCAAGACTGCGAATGCCTTCGTCTAACGTCTCCATGACTTTATTTGCATGTTCGCCCAATTCTTCGGATGATGCTTGTTGCTCTTTGGTTTTTAGCTCTCGAAACTTATTGAATAGCAGCAATAGTTCGCCGTGTTCTTCGAACAGCCTGGTGTGTGCGTGAGTGGGTGAGAGAGAGTGGGTCAGAGAAAGAGTTAGAATGAGAAAGAGAGAGAAAGAGAGAGTGAGTGAGATAGCGAAAAAAAAAGATTCATGGAATTTCCGCAATATTGCACAAAAATGCTAAATATGAAATTCTGATTCTATTGCATGAACTAAATCACATTTGATGAAGGTAATTTGGTTGTGCTACAGCATAACCATCGAAGAAGACGACAACGCATCGAGCAGAGAGCTTTTTGCATCAATTTGTTGTTGATATAATATATTCAAGGTGTTGTAACGTTGACCCACTTATGCAAATTTATGTTTGATAACCCACAGATTGAATGATAAAAAAGAGAGTGACTTAATTCAATTAGGTGATGAAAATTATGGAAAAAGAAAATGGTCTCAGGATTGGGTGAGGTGATGGTGGGATGCGGAGGTGGATATGTTTGTTTTCCACATGCGACGAAAGAGGTGTAAAAAAACACGACAAGCGATCAAGAGAGAGAGAGAGAGAGAGAGGTTCATTGGAGGGATTTTATTCTATATACTTACTTAATGAACATATTAATTCCGGTCGGTTGCATTGCACGACTGATGCCTTTCCACGATGCCATCATTGTGTACTTTTGGCGGGCGGTGAGCGGTAAGCGTGGATCCGGTGCTGATGGCGGTGGTGGTTCACTCGGGCTAGTCGCATTCACATCTGATTTTGTGCTCGCCGCCAATTTGCCTAGTTCACAACCCATTTTGTACCAATAAAATTCGTCGGCTTTTCGCTTCGCCTACTTCTTCAAATTCTCACACCAACACACAGACACCAATCGGAGATTCGTTTTTTTTTTCGTGTGCACTCACACACAAAATTAGCAACTCTTATTATTTTTTTCTTTCTTTTTTTCTCTTTCTTACGTTGTATTTGTCTCTTTTTCGTCGTCGAATCTCTTTAACTCTTCGTTTCTTTTCTTTTTTTACTTATAAAACATCAACTCAAATACAATTGACTTTGTTTATTTTATCTCTATTTCCAAAGTACACAACAATTTCACGGTCACTGTAACTGTTTTTCGCCGTTTTTTTTTCTCAAATTCACTGTTCTTCACTCAAACAAATTTCACTTTTGCCAATTGCTAACGAGATCACACCGTTAACAAGACGCTCGTCATATACACACACACTCAATGGTGCTATAGGTGCGCACTGTTGGTAGATCGGTTATTTACTGAATAACGGAATGCAATGCACACATCATTGTCTTCCTTTTTTTTTTCAAACCGTCGTTTTCGCGTTCCTTGGTTTCTTGTTTGCAAACAATTTATTTCCTCCAATTGTTTTTCACACAAATTGCATGTCATCTAACTTCGATCCTTTAATTTCAGCCAAATTCTATGTCCATGCACCGTTCGAATATGATGATAGCCCTCGGATTTTCACTTTTTCATCACTTTTGGACAATTTCCCTGTCGAAAGAGAAAGAAAGAAAAAAATTGGTTCAACGGAATGAAATTTGCAGCCCTTCTCAAACAAAACTACTTAAGTTTGATACGAAATTTTTCCATCCCGTAATTTGTTCGCGAGAAGTAATTAATTGAATTGTATGAAGCGTCTAAAATCGCGCAACTATTTTCGAGAGTTTGTGATGAGTATGATAGCTGTAGCGAGAGCGAGTGAGTGCGCGCACGTATTGAGTAAGCGTACGCTCGAGTCCACGATATGCAAAAGTTTTTGTATGTGTGTGTGTGTGTGTATTTTTGAGAGAGCGCGAGCGTACGGCAGCATCAACAGCGACGGATGCTATCAGAACAGATGTCTAGTATCATGAGAAAACTTGATTACGTTCGGAATCGTCGCTCAAAAATATGAGCCAAATGACATTTTCTCGCTCTTTTATCTCCTCCTCTCTTTCTCGTACGCCCGCACGCTCACCGCCATCGTCGTTGTCACACAAAAACAGGAAAAACGCTGCTCGAAAATTGTCTATTCGTTTTTCACGGCTCTGTGTGGAAAAACTAATTGAATTATTTTTGGAACGGCAATTTCTTTAAAAATCTTACGCAGAGCGAGAGAGAGAGAGAGAGAGCGAAAAATAAAACAATCGCGCGCGCTCGTTTGACTTAACTTGATGGCGGCAGTGGCGGCGAAAGAACGAGAGAGATACGATACTAGGCACTAGGAAATGAAATATACACACAAAAAATTTATAATCCGATAATAGCTTATTGAAGTTCAAAGAAATGAATTAAATTTAAATGCGACGACGACGAGAAAACTCAACGTAGAAAATTGGACGACAATGGAGAACTGCACGAAGAGCAGTGTCAACACGATGAGGATAGCGAAATGAAAATAATAACAGAAAAAAAATAATACACTTTGTCGCTGGCGAACGATTCACAAGACACAAGATAGAAGAATAGCAGAGAAAAAAGTTGCTATCAACGTGAAACAATATATGATCAAAGACATTTCAAATATGCAAAACGCACTCGGGAACCCATACACACAGCAAACGACAGAACGAACGAACAACAGCAACAACGACGACGACGATGAAAAAAATAAATAATATGAGAAAAAGAATAAGAATAACACTTTGCACGGCACGATGCAAATGATATCGGAGATACCGAGAATGTGAAGAGATAAAAGCGAACGAACGAACGAATGAACGAAAAAAAATATAGCAAAAAAATGAAAACACACAAAAATGTGTATAAACTAGTGATGAAAATGAGCGCAGCGCTTGTTTGTGTAATGTTCTATCTTTGATATCCATGTATTGCATAACAATATTTTCTATCGCCAAAACACCGAGCGCACCGCCCGTCCCGTTTCTCTACGTTCCAAATATATATAATAATAAGTAATCAAAAAGTGTGTAATTTTGTGTGTGCATATTTTGCCTCTCTGTCTGCTGTGTATCATGGGGCCGGTGTGTGTGTGTGTGTGTTCGGGTATTTATTGTTTCCATCGTAGTGGCCTCTCGCACTCACTCTCGAAGCAAATGATGTGCCAAGCAATTTCCCGTAAATTGAATACTAATTGTGTACGGTGTGTGTGTTGTTTTTTTTTTGCGCAAATAGAGGACACACGCTCAGTGTTCGAGCGAGAGCAGAGCGAATGAGAGTCAGCCAGAGAGTAAGCAAGACACACCGAGCAAAAGAGAATCGTTCTTTTTTTTCGGGCACATCGTTTTCGTTCATTTCCAATTCCCATTTCAACGGCACATATTTAACTATTGTATTATACGTCGTTTTTGCTCCGTCTTCGTCTCCGTTTCATATTTCTCATTCATTAGCAACAGTGCGGTATGAAAATATTAAGGTGTAAATGGACTTTTTTTTCGCTGCTGCTGCTGCCGCTGCTGCTACGTTAATATTTGTCGAGTGAGAAAAAAAAAAAGCGTGAAATTGAAAACGCTGGCCGCAAAACAAAGGGAAACGAGCGAAAGAGAGAAAAACAACAACTTATCACTACACGCAATAAAAATTAAATTCTTTTTATGACTTTCATTTATTTTGGCAATTAATTTTTCATATTGCTGTTTTCGCTGGGGACGCATTCCCTTCTGTTTCTCTCGCTTCTCTCGGATGCTGCTTTTTTCGGTGTGTGTGTGTGTGTGTTTGTGGAGAGGCTATTGTATAATCATTACAAGTTTGATTGAAATCGTTCACTTTGTGTAGGTTTTTTTGCGATACTTCGTGTAATGCAACGAAGCTTGCAGGAGATAGCAAGAACAGGGGAGGCAATGGGCAAGAAAGGTAGAGAGATAGGTAGATAGAGAGGTAGAGAAAATGATTGAAAAAGAATGAGAGTAACAGGGACAGAAATAGAAAGAGAAACTGTGTTTCCGTGCCATTTTGCACAGAGTGACGCATTTCAAACGACGCTCGTTATCTGCATGAACATTTGCACACACGAAAAAAAAAACAAGTACGAATCGCATCACTTTGCACATTCAACATTTTTATATGCATAAAGGTATGTACCTTGATGAATTTATTCTTGTTTCGTCGACCGATTTCTTTCTTCATTCTATCGATGCGACGAGAGTGCTTTTTTCCCCATGCTCCCGTTGTCTTATGTCTTCATTTCCCTGTCTCTTTGCAGCGGATTTTTTCTTCACAAGAAGTAAGTCTCCTTCTCTTCTTCTTCTTCTTCTTCTTCTTCTTCTTCTTCTTCTTCTTCTTCTTCTTCTTCTTCTTCTTCTTCTTCTTCTCTCCAGTTTTTTTTTCTTCTTTCTCTCTCTATCTATCTATCTCCCTGTCTTTCTCTCTTTTTCCCTTTTCCCTCTCATTCCGTCCCATTCCTTCGCCTTGAAATCAAAATTTGGCTTGTTTTATTCATGGAATGAACAGAAGATGCACATCGAAATCGCACAAAATTGAGAGACGAAGAGCATGAAGTAACCGAGATGAATGTCAACGAGAGAGAAGAAAATCGGTACTGATTTGTTGTTGTTGGTGTGTGTGTTTTTCTTCTTCATTTTAAATCACGGTTTTTCGTCGAAACGACAAGACACACAAATAAAGACCAGGGAATTGGAATTGTGTGCCATTACTGTCTCGTTCTCGGAGGCAAGCTTCATCTTTGTCGTCTCCCACTCCCATCCTCTCTCTTTCTGTATTGCCCTGGAGGACGGTGAACATTTTCGTGTGGAATTTAGAGCGAGAAATGTCTTGAAGGAGCGCACATAATCCATTCACTCAAAACTCACATACACATAACCCCGTCCGTTGTCTCTCACCAGCCCCCAAAATAAAAACACAGATCTGGTGACGCTGTGATTGTGAATAAATATGCACACGTATTCCGTCCCTTATGAAACTTAAATGAGATTTAGCTTCAGAGACCAAGGGGTGGGTGAAGTTTACCAGATTGAAGTTGATGTGAAAACTTTCAAAATTCCATATGGAAAACAAATCCGTTTTCTGTCATTCTGCTCATATTTCGGTCTCTGCATTGTTCGTGTTCTTTTTTTCGCTTTTGCTCTTGTTTTGTTGTGGTTTTCGAATATGTTTTTTGCTATCGTTTTGTTTTGGTCCGGTATCGATGTTTTTTTTTAAGAATCGAGGACCTATCTTAAGTGTGTGGAATGAGCTCGTTTCAAATATGCGTAACGACCGATAAAATGGATCGAGCGATAGAAAAAAAAAGCGAAAAATGGAATCATCGGTCGCTTAGCAATTCAAGTCAGTTTAATGGGGCAGAGATGAGACAGAGAGAAGGAGAGGGAATGTATGTGTGTGAAAAAGAAAAGAAAATTGTTTGTGCCAAATTTAAGGCCGACGTCGGCTGAGGGATTGTTTGAAAAACGGAATATTATCTTTATGGTGGTTATCAAAATAATGCCTAAGGCAACAATCTCTCTCTCTCTCTCTCTCTCTCTCCCTCACTACATCTCTAACTCAGCCGAAAACAAACAATGGAAGAGAATCAAAATGCAAAGAAGAAAAATGGACCGCAATTTTTAATTGATTTTCACAATGTTTTGGCATCACACCTCAGAAGCATCTTCAAACAACCAACAAGTCGTCGATAAAAAAAACAACACAAAAAACGCGGAAAGAAATGCGGTAAACTTTTTCGCGGGGTCGTTGTCATCGTTGATGTTGTTGTTGTCAACAAAAAAGGGTATGAAAATCAATTGTCCCATTTATAGGGTGCAATCCGAAATAAACTCGATCTCCCTATCTCTCAATGCGATATTAAAAAAGAGTTCAACTCAAACGTTATTACAGAAGCGGAAATGATTTTAGCAACCAAGACGGGGCAAGAAGAAGAAAAAAAAACGGTCGAAATTATATGTATATATGGGGCAAATTGGAAAATATTTACTTTTTGAATATGTACGAAGCACTTTACGAGCGATTTATGATCGTGGGAATATGCGGTATTGGATCCCATTTGCGTGCACGACGAATTTTTTTTTCGCGCTCATTTAAATCGTATTAAGTTGAGAGCAAGCTCGACCACATGATAATATACTTTTCGAAGTAATTTTTTTTCTGCGTTCACTGCTGCGAGATAAAGAGAGCTCTCGTCGCAATTTTTTACTCATCAGTGCGCGCGCTTGAAAGAATCGCAATATAATTTAATATAATTTGCTTCATTTTTTTGTTGTTTCGTTATTATTATTGTTCGTTGCTGTTGCTCTCTCTCTCTCATTTCAAGTGATTATCGTTTGACTGGTCACAAAACGCATAACAACGCGCAACAGAGGACACAGAAAAATATGACCATAAAAATGAGAAATAATAACAAAAAATTTCATTCTATGTCAACAAATAATTTGTACTGGTGCTGCTGCTACTGCTGGTGTTGTTGTTGTCGGATATTCTACATTTGCCAGTGGTCATTTGACATCGAATGCGCATGTGCATTTATGAAGTACATATTTGCTTTATGCCCTTAATGATTTCGGCCACAGAAAATAAATATCATTATGGCTGAGGCCAATATATACATGTTTTACATAGAGACAAGAAATGAGTGAAACGCATTCAGCGAAGGAAGGAAGAGGGAGGGAGGGAGAGAACGAGCGAGGAAGAGTGAGAGAGAAATAGAAATAGGAATAGGAATAGACAGAGACACACAAATTGTCCGAACGATATACAATGCGGCGTTGCTATTTCTCATCGACTGTGAATTAAGTGGCTAAACATGTCGCATTTTTCATTTGCGTAAGCTTTGCAAATGCTTAATAAAATGCTTTTTCTCCATCTCTCTCACTCCCGTTCACTCGTTCGGTTTCATCTCTTTTGTTTTTTCGGTATTGTTCGTTTGGCTTTGGCTCTGCATCGCACATCGTTTCATTATTGTTGTTTGCATATGATCTGGGCTACCGCGTTGCTCATGCTAGCTACCATGTCTGTCAAATCGAATGCAAATGCTTTTAATTCGCATGCAGCCACGTTCAGACATGCACATACAAACACGCTCCGCATTTTTCAACCGTGGTCATATATCATAATTTCGCCTAAACGGCCATTTAATTCATTTTTCAACTGTCAAAATAAACATTGTTTACATTTTCGAGAAACGAGAATGATGGTTGGTCGACCGACCAACCGACCGAGCCAAACTTTTATTTGTCCATGCATGAAAGTGTGCGTACGTGTTTGTGTCTGTTTTGTTTCTTTTTTTCTGGAGCG